ATTCAAGTAATAAAGCTTCACACCTAAACGATTTCCACAAACGATTTCTGACGATTCTTTTTTACTTCAGGTTAAGCGCACGCAACACGATTAAGATTGATTGACATGTTGCGCCTTCCGGCTCAAAGCTCAAGAAACCGCAAGTAACCGCAAGTCAGCTAAGTGGGTCATAAGGATGGTTTTCAAGTCGCTTGAAACTTTCTTGAATCGTTTTAAGTTTCCGACTTTTTAAAATGAGATGCAAAGTAAAGTTACTTGAGATTTTATTTAGGCCTTCACACAGGAATTTTTGGTTAAGTAAAACTTTGCAGCTCTTAAGTCTTACTTAACAGCCTAGTGTAAAGACAACCAATATAAGGAAAGTACTTTGTAATTCATGATTCAGTGGTGTGAGAATTAAATTTGTGTTCAGTACAAGACTGAAGCGAGTCGACTGTTTTGATTCGCTCTGGTTATCCTTTTGTCGCTGTTGAAGTTGAAGTCTAGAAATATAACAAAACACTTAATATAATGTCTGGTTTCTCGGGAAAACAGTTAATTTTGTTTTCCCTCTAGTCCTGATGTTTTCCTCGACTTCGTCTCGGGAAACATGAGGACAAAACTGCCGGGAAACAAAACTGTTTCCCTCGAGATCTGACAATGTATAATAACACCTGAATGTCAGTTTTCCCTACCTTATTTCTATACTTCTATTCGTGAAATCCCTATACCCTTTTATATATACCTGAAAGATCATGAAAAAGGTATCCCTTCGGGCGCTGCGTCCCCGCAAGGCTATTTCAGGGACTAACCACCGGCTCGAAACACTTGCTTTCGATATGACTGTCGTTTATCACTATAAAGAATGGTTATTATCATTAAGTTACCCTGAAAGGCCTGCCGCACCCTTTATTATGCAACTGTCGCAAAGCTTGGCCATTTCGAAGAACTCGTCGAGCATGTCGAGGTAAGACGCTTAAAATTTGTGTTTTCCAATTTTGCGCGCAGAAATTGCTTCACAGTGTTTGTCGTAAACGGTAAGATACTGCTCGACGGCGCACCCTTGTATTCCCTTGCGCGTGATAGAATTCAAAGGGATAGAATATATCTGAAGAAATGCGAAGAAATGCGGCATAGTTCGAGTATTGGATCAATTACGTGATTATACCTGCACCTTTATGTCTGGCTTTAAATTTCATTTTCGTAAAGCACGTTTTGCGCCAATTTTCGTTCCAATACTTTATACTTTTCTGAAAGGTGAATTAGGAGTATGAAACTGATTTCCGTCGGCGGTTTGGCTGAGGCAGTAACTGCATTCATCTCAATTTTAAGCAACTTATTTAGACTTCATGTTAACAACTTGCCAAATGCAAGTTAAACTTTTGTATATTAGATTGTTTAATTCATTTTCTGCCTGTACGAATATAGAAGCAATTCTTAAAACTACATATTTTACCGTGTACGAAGGCTCTTTAAGTATCACTGTTGGAAATGCGTTTTGTCCGCAATCTTTGAATTGAGGGGTACTATGTTCAGTACAACGAGTCGCCTATAACGACTTAAGTTCACCTAGAACGCACTTGTCTACGCGTTTATGAAAGTTTCTGGTCAGAACTTTAACTATTTCCTTTTACTCTCCTCGTTGCGTCTCAGACTAGTTAACAATTATTCCTCGAGCCCGAATGGACTCTGAGTCAGTAGCCTATGAGGCCTGTTAGAAAATTATTGCGTCATTGTGGCGGGAAAACTCGTCACGTGATCTGAGAACTGAACTTTGCACGAGAGTCTCGGAACTGTGTAGTCGTTCGCAGTCGTGGAGTTGACCGAGTGTGTAGATTGAGTGTAGATCGTCGAAACTTTACTCGAATTGATGTCGATGAATCCTTAAGTGTAGAACAGAGTACAGAATTCTAAAATATGAACATGTGAAAATATATACTTTCCAGGAAGTGAAGAATTAAAGCTACAGAGAACTGGTTTATCACACATAATTTGTGACAAGGCCGAAGGCCGAATGGGCTTTTGACTCAGAGGCCATGAGGGCGAGAGGAATAATTGTTTTAGTAAAATCCAACTATTTGGTCAAACATATCGAGACAAAACAACTTTAGCTAGTTAAAAGTAGACTTGAATCTTTTTTGCCGTCAAAAGCCGGCCCTCTTCGCTACTAGTGGGCTATAACATATAGCCTAATAGCAGCTCATACCAATCAGAAAGCAGAATTGACGACAATATAGGCTGTATGTGGTGTGCACTCAGGATGATGTGGAGAGAGAGAGTTCGACTTTAGACTGACTGTTCAAGTTTTCATCCGTCTGATATTAATAGGATCTTCTTGCTTTAATAGGCTATTACTTTTTGCATGAAAATTTTAGGTCAGTAAAAATCATGAAGGGCCGTTTGTAGGTCCCCATCAACGTTTTTCAAATTACTTTTACAAAGAAAGGCAAAAAGCACAACAGGTTTTTTTTTGTCTCGCAGCAAAGCGAAGGGCACTGAAGCGTCTCGATCAGTTAAGGTTAAGTAGGTCTAGCACGGGAAGTATCTCACTAAAATAAATTTTTACTCTTTTGAATAATACACATTTTGTTAATCCACAGCCTAAAAAAGCAAGGAATAAGGAGCTACTCAGCATACATGAATAACAAGTGCGATGAACTGTCGAATTAAAATTTTTCGCTTAAATGCGTTTCCTCTCAAATTTCGGGTGTTAGATAATTTCTATGGGCTCGGTCAATTTTTGGCATCATCACGTATTGTTTAAAGGAAGCATTGGTCACGTGACCTCTTAGTGCACGTGGCCTGTTGAGATCACGCATCAAGCCGTTTGATTGACAGCTACCGATTCCTGTATTTAGTCAACTATTACGTCGTCCGTATCCATCGAGAAACTGGGCACTGTACGTACATGTCGCAAAAGACAATAGCATGCTGGACGATGGGATAAGACTAATTAGTTACACATTGCATTCTTAAAAAATAGAAAAGCAATATATAGCCCTTTTTTAAAGAACAGCTGAGTTTTGTGGTTTATACTCGCAGTTTCTCTAAAGTTTTACTTGTGGCGTTTTATTACCAGGAGATGGCAAGTGCTAAGGATAAGGTTACAGACACGACAGCAGAGACAGAGGTGAAAGAGGTGGGTGGTATAAAGTTGACAAATGTTACGGTGACAGACTGTATGGCTAATTTTACGTCAGCAAAAATAAACGGCCGTGTTTAGGTCCCCATCAACGTTTTTCAAATTACTTTTACAAAGAAAAGCAAAGCACAACAGGTTTTTTTTTGTCTCGCAGCAAAGCGAAGGGCAAGTCTAGCACGGGAAGTATCTCACTAAAATCAATTTTTACTCTTTTGAATAATACACATTTTGTTAATCCATAACCTAAAAAAAGCAAGGAATGAGGAGCTACTCGGCATACATGAATAACAAGTGCGATGAACTATCGAATTATATTTCTCCTTTAAATGCGTTTCCTCTCAAATTTCGGGTGTAAGATAATTTCTATGCGCTCCTTCAATTTTTGGCATCATCACATACAGGAGAAAGGAAGCATTGGTCACGTGACCTCTTAGTGCACTTGGCCTGTTGAGATCACGCATCAAGCCGTTTGATTGACAGCTACCGATTCCTGTATTTAGTCAACTATTACGTCGTCCGTATCCATCGAGAAACTGGGCACTGTACGTACATGTCGCAAAAGACAATAGCATGCTGGACGATGGGATAAGACTAATTAGTTACACATTGCATTCTTAAAAAATAGAAAAGCAATATATAGCCCTTTTTTAAAGAACAGCTGAGTTTTGTGGTTTATACTCGCAGTTTCTCTAAAGTTTTACTTGTGGCGTTTTATCACCAGGAGATGGCAAGTGCTAAGGATAAGGTTACAGACACGACAGCAGAGACAGAGGTGAAAGAGGTGGGTGGTAAAGTTGACAAATGTTACGGTGACCGACTGTATGGCTAATTTTTTGGGGTCGCTGGGATCCAGACGGAGGTGTGAAAGAAAAGCTGGGAACAAAATAAAAAAAGAAACGTCCGAGAACAAAAATAATAGTTAATAAAGAAATAGAAATAGTCGTCTATTTCTCTAATTTTAGCTTCCCTGTCCTAAACAGGCTATTTAATTTCGAGCGTGTCTGTCCTAATTATAAACAGGGTATTACCTACGCGATTGTTTGATTTGCTTGATAAAATTGTTAGTACTCTACGACATGTGACACTAATCTCCGGTAACCACTTTTCTATATCTTTCGAGATAGTTTCTAATGCACCAATTATGATTGGCACCACAGTTACACTGCGCAATTTCCAGATCCGTTTCAACTCCCGCCTCAGGTAGTTCTCAATTTTCTATTTCCATTTGTCCTTCACTCGGTTGCCAAACGGACAAGCAAGATCAATAATCAGACATTTGCCGTTCTTTTTTATCCAATACCTCAATGTCAGGCTTGTCGATCGTGTTCAATCTTGTTGTCAGTCTGAATTTTGAAGTCCCACAGCAGCTTGTTATTAGTGGATTCATACACTGGTTTCGGCTCATGACTGCAATAATATTCATCCCGTTAATAACCCAGCTTTCCACATAGGTCCCATGAATCACCTGCGCCACCTAGTCTTGCCTCCACTGATCGATATTGCTTTTGAGCAAGTTTCCTGCATTCCGATACAATATGGCTAACTGTCTAATCGCCTTCTCCACACTTTCTCAGCACTTTGCAGACACATTTTGCTTGTCGATTATATCCTCTTGATACTCATAGTTCTTTAATGTTTGGTCTTGTGCTGTTACAATTAAACCCTCCGTCTCCTTCTTTAGTCTGCCTTTAATAAGCCACTCCCACGTCGTTTTATCTCTTACTTCTGCTGTGCTCCTTCAAAACAACCCATGAAGTTGTTTCTCTTGGAGTACTCTAATTTTTTTCTTCCTTGCTGTAACGGTGCGGCTTCACAAGTTTTAGCATAATGTCAGAATTTTTTCCTTGTACACCGCCTCCAACAGGGGGCCGTTACAACTCTAAACATACCTGCAGAGACTATTGATCTCACTATTTACAGAGTCCTCAACACTCATTAATCCTTTATCACCCTCTGATCTTTTAAAGTAAAGCCTGTCAACATCAGCCTGCGGATGCAAAGCATGATGTAGAGTCATAAATTTGCGCGTTTTCCTATCCATAGTGTGTATTTTCTTTCGTCAACTCCACTATTCCTGCCGCTTATCACACTACTGCCACTGCCCTAAAATTGATTGCTTGGACCATATTCCCACTATTCAGTTTAGACTTTAATATTTTTCGTACAAGACGGAAGTATTCCTTCTCAATTCTTCTGTTCATCTCGGTGTGTTTGATTTCATCTCCTTCAAGCACCCCTAGGAATTTATAAGCATCCACATCACCATCATTCATTGCTCGAATCAGTCTTTCACCCGAGATTACAATACCCTCTGACTTGACCAGTTTCCCACTCTTGATGACCAGGACCCCACATTTTTCTATTCCATACACACTTTACCCAATAAGGGTTACCAACCGTCAGTTCCGTCTTCCATTGTTTCATACTGTTTTGGATTACACCTGTCACGTTTTCTGCGATGCCAAGCATGCATGTTCTCATTTAATCGAGTTGCAATTCTCTCGTGTAACGCTGTAAACGTTTTTCAACCAGTAGCCCTGCATACCATAAGGACCCGGGGATTTCCAATTAGGTATTTTCCTTAGCTGTTTTTGATCATCGGTCCAGAAATCTTCGCTTCGCCTTCCTTTTCCAGGTCACCCAGTTCATTCTTTAGATCTTGCAACCATTCGGCCTCTACATTGTGCTTCACATCTCTTTCGTAAATTCCGTCCCAGATATTTCGGCACCCTTCTGCATCTGGTATCACATCAATGGTCCTTTCAATTCCTTCTAGCTCTAGTCTTTTTTTTTGCATTCAAACAATCTGTTTTGTCTACACTGTGTAGTTCTCTCCTCACAGCGCCTCAATTTTGCTGCCTGGACAGTCACCCTTTGCTTGAGTTCTTCTAATACGATTTGGAGGCCCTTCTGCCGGATATTGTATTTCCTTTCCAACTGCTCACTAATCTCGGCTCTTCTTATCTGACCAGTTACCACCCTTTCTAGTCTACTAATATTTTTTCTCAACTGCATTATTATTATTAGTAGGAGTAGTCGTGGTGGTGGTGGTGGTGGTGGTGGTGGAGGTAGTTGCGGTAGTGGTAGTGGTAGTGGTAGCGGTAGCGGTAGCAGTAGCAGTAGCAGTGGCAGTGGCAGTGGCAGTAGCAGTAGCAGTGGCAGTGGCAGTGACAGTGGCAGTGGCAGTGGTATTGGTAGTGGTAGTGGTGGTGGTGGTGGTGGTGGTGGTGGTGGTGGTGGTGGTGGTAGTAGTAGTAGTAGTAGTAAGGAGACTCGCCCTCTCCAACTTGGTTGCGTTTAAATTTCGTGTTTCAATCTTTAGATGTCGAACGAAAAAGACATCAACATCCTTATACTTGGAGAAAGTGGAGTGGGCAAGTCAACCTGGATCAATTTAATCAGCAATTATGTCAAGTATGTCAATCTCAAAGATGCTGTGGAGGATCCTATATTCACCTTTCTTATTCCGTCAAGGTAAAATTATAGTTTTTGTTGTATGCTGAGTCGATATACAAGTTTGCTGCTCAGACGACTCCTCAAGACAGATGCTTCACTTTTGAAAACGATCTCCAAATCTTTGACCTAAAAGCTCAGCAGCCTATTTTCGAGCTCCACTAGTTGTGAATTAGTTTTTAAAGAAAACAAGTCGAGCTATCTCTTTAGTTATCATATAAATACAGAGTTACGAGGAAGCTTAAGATTAACTATGCTCTACATACATAATATAATTAGCCCTTAACGCCCGAAATAAGAAACTCCTCTTAAAATTCCCCCGAGTCGGGTCTGCAAGCTAGCTAGTGATATGAAGGAATGAGGCACCGCGGCCTTCGCTTAAAAATTAATGGCTTTCCCCCCTTTTGGCCAGCACAACGGAGTTTAGTGGAAGTGACTTGGAATTTTTTCTCTTCTCACCGCGCCTGGTGGCGGTGACCATTGGCCTTTAGTAAAATCCAGCTAGTGGTCTATTATCAATGCTGCGTTCTGATTGGTTGAGCTACTACTAGGCTATATGTAGCGAACAGAGCCGGCTTTTTGGTGGCAAAAAAGGATTAAAGTCTAAAGTTGTTTTGTCTCGATATTTTTGACCAACTAGTTGGATTCTACTAAAACAATTATTCCTCTCGCCCTCATGGCCCCTGAGTCAATAGCCCATTCGGGCTCGAGGAATAATTGTTAAATACTAGCAGTTGCGAGTAGTTAGAGATAAACCGGTTCTACCACACCTCTAAAATACTTTTTTTCTATAATTTTCTCGGGTTTTTCCGACATATTATATTTTAACGGAGTATGACAAAGTTCTGTTAATTTCCGTCATGGCCTCCGTCATAAATTAATCAACGAATTTCAATTGAAGAGGTTAAATGTACGAACGGTAATAAACTTAATTTCGAGCATTGTCATTTACTAACTTAAAATTCTTACATGCGGCAAAAACAGAGAAAAATCATAGAAAAAGGTATTTTAGAGGATGGGAGAACCGACATATATCTATAACTACTATAAAGAAATAATATTCTGATGTCATGAACCTCAATCCATCAAATAATCTATGCCCTCAAACTAATCTAGATGACTTGAGCGAAGCGAGTAGTCAGACATGTCACCCACGCTTTATGTAATTCATTGTCAATTCACAACACAAATACAATCAACAATTTCACGAATTTTATAAACTTACACAGAATTCTGTCCCCGCTCAGTAATGACTTCAACAAATTTATGGATTTGATGATTTGTTTAGAAAGAGAATATTTTGATTTTTAATTTGTGGTAGAAAAAGATAAATTTGAATTAAAGCGATTATATAATCTATAAATAAAAGGATGAACTCTCTGGATTTGAAGAACTTATCAATTAAGGAATTTTAAAATAATTTAGTAAACAAAGAGTATAAAGAAAACAAGACCGCTCTTAGTAGCGTTGATACTCGCTTGCTTGGAGATAAGATAAGAAATGAGGAGGCGATAAGACCGAATTGCAAAACAGTTTGCTCGTGAAAAATATTGTTCGTCCAACACTTAGGAGCTTAAAGTTTGCTGTTGAGCAAACAATCTCCGTAAGAAATAAAAAAATTCTGTATGTTTGAATTCGACTAGAACGAAAATATATCAAACCTTAAATTTTCCATAGCCGTGATAGATTATGTAATGAAAACTTTATAAATGACTCAAATTATTCTTAAGTAGCGTCAGACTGCTGCTTAATATCATATTTTGATGCTAATTTTGGTGTATTTTCGTTCGTGCAATCTTAAAAACTAACTCGTTTCCTCACCACCTGTCTAAGGACAACTTCATTCAATTTTGGACTTTTAGCGCTTTTTTGAATATCTCTGAAACGACTCTAACGAATTTTTTTTAAAAATCTTTTCACATAATCTTCATAATGTATATAATAAAGTCTGAAACTTTCATTAAGATTGATTCACTGCAACAGCTTGAAATTTCAAGGCAAACCTATATCCTTCGAACCGGTCAAAAATCCGCGCTACAGCATTCACTGTTTTGACGTTATGCTACTTTTTCCAAATTAATGGGGACAATACATATATCCATGACCGGTACATTTCAGTGTGAGTATTGTCAATGTTTTGCATTCAAAAGATGCGGTAAATTCAAACTAAAATGTACTAGTCATGGAGGTATGTTTAGTTCGCATTATTTTGGAAAAATTAGCAGAACGTCAAAACAGTGAATGTTGTAACGCAGATTTTTGACCGGTAAGTAGGATAGGTTTGTCTTGAAATTTCAAGGTGTTGTAGTGAATCAATCTTAATGAAAGTTTCAGACATTATTATATACATTATGAAGATTATGTGAAGAGGTTTTGAAAAAATTCGTTCGTGTCGTTCTAGAGATATACAATTAAGAAAGCGCTAAAAGTCCAAATTTTGAATGAAGTTGCACTTATACAGGTGGTGAGAAAACGGGTGTAGTTTTCAAGATCGCAAGAACGAAAATACACCAAAATTTCCTAGCATCAAAATATGATATTAAGCAGCAGTCTGACGTTACTTAAGAATAATTTGAGTCATTTATAACGTTTTCATTACATAATCTATCACGGCTATGGAAAATTTAAGGTTTGAGATATATTTTCGTTTTGGTTGAATTCAAACATACAGAATTTTTTTACTTCTTACGGAGATTGTCTGCTAAACACCAAACTTTACGTTCCTAGTGTTGGATTTTCAGTAGCTGGTCTAGATCGCACAAAATAAGGTTTTTTTCACTTTCAAAGTTTTTTGTTTATTGTTGTCATAGTGATATCGATTTTACTAAAACCTATATTTTGACAAACTTCAATCTATAGTCAATCATTGGTGAAAATTTTATAGCGATCAGACATGGATAAAATCACTTTTAAAGCGATTGAAAAATATCGGCATGGCCTCTGAAAAACTAAATCGAAACACCTTAAAGAGCATATTAAATTAAGTAACCTGTAAATTTTCAGCCATATATCTCAAAAGTAGCGATATCGCGATTGCAACGACCGCCGAAAATTAGAAGGATTTATATGAGAAAAACAACCTTGCTACCCAGTCACGCTTGAGTGATTTTCCATACAAATCCTTGTAAATTCTGAAATTTTTTAACTGTCGTAAAATCTTTCCCTTACTCATTTAAGGGCTCAAATTGCCTGTTATGAATTAAAAAGAGATTTGAGCCCCGTAATGCTTATGGAAATATTTCACGACGGTTTGAAAATTTCGAAATTTGCAAGGATGAAAGACCATTTAAGCGTGACTGGGTGGCAAAAGCTGTTTTCATATACGAATCCTCCTAATGTTCGGCGGCCGTTGCAATCTCGATATCGCTACTATTGAGATATATGGCTGAAAATTTGCAGGTCACCTAATTTTAATGCTCTTTTAGCTCGTGCTAACAAAATTTTACAGAAGCGAACTGCTTTCGTATTTTCCGAAAGTTGATCATGTGATCAACTAACGCAAAAGGCCAAATACATACAACAAAGTGAATCTGCAACACCGAATCTAGTTAACCGTAAAGTTCCAGTAATCCGTCAATATCCTGAGAAACGTAACGCCTCAATACACCAGAAAACAGGATTTCCTCGCTATAATATTTTCTCACATCCTTCTTTATTGACCGTCGAGTATTCTTCAGGGTATTTACTTTTTACTCGAGAGCCTTAATTCGAGGAAAGTTACATCATTGCCAAACAGCCAAAACGTAATCAGCCTTGTGCGTCATTTCTGTTTCGGTGAGAGCTCTAACAGTAACAAGACGGTAACTCAACTAAACGCCATCACAGAACGTCGCTCTCTCGAGCCTCTTCCCAGGATGCCTGGCATTAGGGTTACCACCCTCTAACACCTTCCCCCCACGAAAATTTACAATTTTACGTTTAACTAGAGTATCTTTGCGGCATTTTCACTAAACGTTCCGAACGTGTGCGTTTAACAGTAATATGGTCCAGCTTAGTTCGACTTAGTACATTTAGTAGGTTCTGCAGCCTTGGCATTGTCTTTTAGTGGCTTGACGTTTTTTCCATTCTTGTCAACAACAGCTACAGGTAGGTCTTCGGCTGTAGATTTCTGTTATCCAGATTTCGAGGAGGGTTCCGTAACTTTGACTTGCTGATCTTCCTTATAACATGTACACGGTTTCTTCAGAGCAGTTTACCATCCACATTAACATCGTATGAAAGATATCCACAGTTCCGTGAGACAGTTCCTTTCTTCCACTCTTGTCCTTTGAACAGACCTTCAGGCTTGACTCTAACGGTATCTTTATGCTCTAATTCACTTAGGTCTTTAGCAGTGCGGTCATAATATGCTTGAGATTTCTGGTGTTTCTTAGTTTTCTCTGCTAACACTTTTTCTGCAATCTCAGGTGTCAGTAATGTCGCATTCATAGGTACTTCAGTTCTTGTTCGACGGTTTAGGAATCTTTGTGCGGGAGATGTTGTCATGCCAGCAGGAGGCGTGTTGTGCTGGTCAAGTAATGCTTCGTACGGACTCAATTTTGTTTTCTCAGCTTTCCTCAGCAACGTTTTGACAATCTTCACACCGCAGATTCAGCTTTTCCATTACTTTGGTGGTGATATGGTGAAGATTTGGTATGTTTAGTCTTCTTTCGTTGGCAGAATTGCGAGAACTCGGCTGAGTCGTAGTTCTTACCACAGTCTGTGACGATCTCATCAGGGATTCCCCATCTCTCAAATTGTTTTTGCATTAGATTAATGGTTTCACATGTAGTTTGGTTTTTCATCAAGTCAAATTCAATCCAGTCACTGTAATAGTCAACTAGAGCAAGATAGTGTCTTTGTTCCATTCAAAAATATCAGATCCATCTTTTGACCGGGGTCTAATCATAACTGATCAGTGTTTCTTTTTGGTTCTTAGTCTGAAAAACATTGCAGACTTCACATGTAGCAATGAACTGTTTCGACTGATTGTTCGTTCCGGGTCACCATAATGAAGTTCTAGCACGCCTAAGGGTTGACCCGGTTCCCATATGTGCTTGGTGTAATTTAATAATCAGATTCTTCCGGAGTGTTACTGGGACTACGATGCGATCACTCCTATAAACGATTCCATCGTTAAAGGACAGTTCATCCTTAATGTTCCAATACGGTAAGATTTCTACAGGAACGTTTCGTTTGCTTGGTTTTCAGCCCATTGATATAACACGGTCGATGACAGACTGTAAGACAGCGTCCTTTTCAGTGGCTTAAGCAATTTCAGCGAAGTTGCTTGTTAAGCTTTGTTCTTCATGAACAAGTCTGGTCGTTTCAATCTCTTGTTCGATCTTGCTTCGGTGCTGGTCAGTCGTTGGAGATCTGCTCAAGGCAGCAGCTATAAAAAGGTCTTTACCTTTTAAATACTTGAATTCGACATCATATCCCATGATTCTACAGGTTTCTTCAATACTGCAGCAAGGGGTTTGTTGTCGTTATAGACTGTCGCTTTCCTACCATAAGTGCAGGTATGAAATCTAGTGAGCCCACATGCAATACTAAGCATCTCTTTCTCAATTTAGCTGTAGCGTTTTTCAATGCTCTCGATACAAACTGTATAGGTTGGCCGCCTTGCATGAGGCAGGCTCCTAAACCACTTGATGATGCGGCCACTTGGACTTCAACTTGTTCAGCCACATTGAAGTATCTCAGCAGGGGTGCATTCAGAATGAGGGTATTAATTTCATCAAAGCTTTCTGTTCATTTTCTTCCCAGATAAACGCAGTGTTGTTCTTCAGCAGAGCTCTTATCGGTTCTGACTTGGTTGACAAGTCTTGTGAAAATCTTGAGAGGTAGGTAACAACACCAAGTAGTCTTCTGACTTCATCTTTGTTGGTTGGGGCAGGCATTGACTAAATGAATTCTTGATTCTTGGGGTCAGGTTTAACTCCTTTGTCTGTAAGGACCACACCCATGTAGAACAACTCATGATCAGTCTTCTCAGCTGGAACTTCTCCTTATTAAGTTTAATATTTTTCTGATGGCATCTCTCCAACAAGGCAAGCAATCTCTTGTCATGGCTAGCTGTTGCTTCTTCAATGTTTTCTCTATCGCCCCAGATCAATATGTCATCAGCTATAGCTTTTACACCTTCTAATCCTTCTAGATTCTCATCAATTCTTCTTTGAAATTCTTCAGGTACTACACTGATGCCAAAAGGTATTCTTTTCCATTTCATCCGTCCAATAGGGGTATTAAAGGTTGTCAGCAAGGAGCTTTCTGGATCTAATGGTACATGCCAAAAAGCAGTTTTGATATCAGCTGGAGAGAACTATTTTAGCATTGCTAATGTCTGTAAGCAGATGATCGACAGTTGGGACTGGGTACTCAGATCGTTTGATTGCCGTGTTCAGTGGTCTGCTGTCTATGCAGAGTCTAATTCCATTCTTAGCAGAAGGTTCATTTGCAATTGTAGGATCACTTACCAATTCGGTAAGCTCAGTCACTTTCTCAGCTATACCTTGCTGTTGTAGATCTTTTACTTCAGCAATAAAGTTGCTCTTCACAAAGAGGAGGATCTCTCTAGGAACTGTTTTGTGAGGAGTGACATCATTACTTGTGTGAAGATGTAGTTCGCTCTCAAACTTTCCTATACTGTCATCAAAGACTTGCGGGTAGTTAGTCAGAATGGTCTCCAAGGTGAGTGGTGTTGTCACTTCACTGGCAGTTACAGGGACACTTAGGTTAGCTGGGGCTACTACAACAATGTTTTCTCGTGAGAGCTCAATGGGTTTGAGCATTTCAGAGTCATTTAGACCGATCAGAGGTGTTAGGTCTCAAAAATTCTAAACTGAATCATTATGATCATTTCTTCACTGGTTGCAGGATTTAGCACAAAGACTTTTCTGGTTCCCAGGGTCTGAATTTTGGTTTCTTCATCATAGAGAGAAAGAACAGGCTTGACTGCAGTGTTAAGGTCTGTGAGATCATAATCTCCACTGATGTCTTTGTACACATTCACAGGGAGAATAATACATGTTGAATCAGAGTCTATCTGACAGCTAACAGGAATTCTTTTCTTCGACAGCAGTAGGTTTGCAAAAGCTTTCTTGTAATCACAGTTTTGATTAAGTACACAGATTTTGTCGGGAACTTCATACTAGTGATTTTCACCATCTTCGTCTACTCTCAGTACAAACGGTTTTGAGGTTGATTTTGATCGTTTTGGATCTGAGTGTTTCTCCTGTTTTCCTTTTTGTAAGCGTTTACACTCCTTTGAGTCTTGAAAGTGATTTTTGGCCTTGCATTTCCTGCAGACTGCTCCCCAGCCAGGGCAGAGTTTCTTGTCTGAAAAGCTATGAGCTCCCTTTTTGTTTGCACGGTAATTACACATGAGAGCTTTCTTGAGCTTATCTTTAGAAACAGCTTTTATACTCTCTTTTGCAGGAGTTCGGTTTGCACTGCACTCTTGGACTTCAATCTTTGTACTTTGATAAGCCTTGCCAATTCTAATAGCTTCAACTCTTGTGAGAGTGTTTCCTTTTTCTAGCAATCTTTACTTTAGTTCTTCATTCGAGACACCATAAACAAACTGATCTCTCACTTTTCTATCTTCGTCTACATAATTACAGTCTTTCACTAACAGCAGCAGATCATTGACAAAAGCAGTTATTGTCTCTCCAGGTTTTGGCACTAGTTCTTTAAATTTCTTAGAAGCAACAATCTCGCTACATTCTGGACTTACCGCTCGCTCCAATCTAGTCCACATCGGATCATAGTCTTTTACATCCTCACCTTCAAACCAGTCCAAGCTGTCGTATATCTTTTGACCTTCAGAGCCAAACTAATCTTGAACCAAAATACATTTTCTTTCATTCGAAGTATTCACAAGACTTCCTTTGAAGATGTAACCACATTTCTTTTTGAAGGCTTTCAATGCTTCTAGCCGATTCTCCTGGCAGGAATCGAACTTGAGTCGCTCGAAGTTCATGATATTACCCGTAAAGAAACCTTGGTTTTGATCTTGAGCTGGGCCGCAGCTTCGGCTCCTTCTTCCGACATGTTTAACTCGTGGTTTTGCAGGGTTTTAGCGCGAAGATCTCAGACAGTATTTTTGAGCGATCGACGAGATTCCGCACTCACAGACAAACGAGATCACAGAAAGTCAGATCGATAGCAGCAGAATAATCAGCGTTTGTTCCCACTCCTGGAGTCCTGGTACCATGTTTCGGTGAGAGCTCTCACAGTAACAAGACAGTAACTCAACTCAACGCCATGACAGAACGTCGCTCTCTCGAGCCCTTTCCCATGATGCCTAGCATTAGGGTTACCACCATAGGCGTACGGGCCGGGGGGGGGGGCGAGGGGGGCTGCAGCCCCCCCAAATTTTGGGGCAACTCAGATTTTTTGGGCAGCAAGAGAAAATTTGGGCAAAGCCAGTTTTTAAAGACGTCTCCATGTTTATTTAATTATGTTAAAGACCTGAATATTAACCTGAAGTCGGCGTAATAATCCAGTTACATTACAGTGGTTGCCTAGCATGTGATGAGTAATTTACATATTTGCATTTTTTTTGTTGGGCACTATACTGCACTGCACTAGCTGGAATGGGCTATTTCCAGTCGTGAATTGATTAAAATAAACTTTCGCATAACTTTCTAGTATCATCTCTATTCGAAGAACAGAGTATGGCAGATAGCATTTAACAATGGGTATAAAAATGAAGAAGTGGCTGATTAATTCTCAGTTTGAATTACGAGAAGAATTTTAATTCTTTAAAAAAAATTTATCGTGCGGTTTAGAATTATTCGCTAATTTGTTAAAGTAGACCGAAATATTTACAAAACCCGCTAACAAGAGTGTCTCGATACATACTACTCAAATCCTTCTTTCGATTCTAGAAATCAAGCAGAGCTATCTCCACGATCTTTCACACATGTTTTTAAAAAGATTAAAACTACGATGAAGTGAAATTGCAGGTCAAAAGCGCTTCGTTTTCTGCAGATAACGGCCAAAAATCAAGATTTTCCTGTTCTTACCGTATTTCTAATAATAAAAACTTCATTCCAAAATATGTCTATAACGCTCTTAAGGTTTTGCTTAAACTTCACGAACATCGAGGCGACCGTATTGGAGAAAAAAGCTCCTGTGAACGATTTTGTATAGACTGAAAACAGTCTCTCTTTTTCTTCAGATTTAGTAAGGGAGGTGCACGCGCGCGCGAGCGTTGAGCGGCGAAGCCTTCAGTCACGCGCGTTGTCATTTGCGTGTCTCGGGCGTTTTGCTCGACGGACCAAGAAAAAAGAGAGACTACTAGTAGTCTAATTTTGTAAGTTTCCCGTGCCGGGAATCATTGCTGAAGTAAAATAGGTAATGGGTGGGGGAAGGCATTTCGTTGCTATGACAACTCCGATGTCATTGCAACCCTGATGATGACAAATTTTCATCTTAATACAACTGTGGTCGCAATTTTTCCAAATGTTTGATTATTGCGACGTAGTTTATACTCAGACTTGTTATTGACCCTGAAAAACCGTATCAAGCCACCTTCATATGCCAGGACGGCCTATGTTGTTGCAATATGGCCTTCATTTCTTTTCGATTCTTTCGTAAAAAATTTGGGCAACTTGCGAGATTTTTTTGGGCCAATTGTTTACCGCCCCCCCTGGCAAAAAATTTCCCGTACGCCTATGGTTACCACCCTCTAACAATTTCAGTCGTCGTCGAAAATAAACCGCATGCTCATCACGAGACTCATCGTTGATTCTTATACCTATTTTTACGGTCTCCGCTAGGAACGCCTGGGACCATGACCCACCAATTGGCGAGGACACACGAAAAAAAAAAGAAAAAGAAACGCCTGCATTTTTAGAGTGTCGCAACTAAAGCAAGCTCGACTAATAAGAAGCTAAGGCCCGGTTCAGACGCCGAACTTTCATGAGCTGAACCTAATTCGAATTAAGGCAGACCCAAGTTATTTTATAGACCGGCTGAATTGATTCAGACGCCGATCTTAATTTCAGCTGAACTAAGTTCAAAAAGCGGAATTAAAGCTCATTTCGGTCAAACTGCTTACAAAATACGTTATGATAATTTATGCATTAGGTTCGGTATATGAAAAGTTCGGCGTCTGAATCAAAGCCGTTCCAAAGTCGCTGCAAAGGCAAAATTCCCGGCCGGGCTAGGCGAAAAGAACGGCTGAACCGTTCCAATTGAAACAGGCGTTCCTAATTTATTCAGAAGCCCAACTTCTCATGAACTTAATTCAATGTATTAGGTTCGGCTCATGAAAAGTTCGGCGTCTGAACCTGGCTTAAAAGAGGAAAAAGAAAAGAAAGATCTTATTTTGGTGTATCAGAAGTTATAGTTAAACAAAATAAGAAATTGAAAAAAGACTAGATCAATTTAAACCAAAGAAACAAAAAGAGCCAAAAACATTTGATGATTATTTTCAAGGATGCATTATTTAGAAATTAAAAAATTCCAAAAACTTTTAAGAAACTGAATCACTTGAAAGAGCAATGAAAGCATATGATGTTGGAGTCAAACATGAAAAGTCAGCTCTTGAGAAGTTTGCTGACAAATATGTAATTGAGGGAAAACCAGGAGTTGTACCATTACAATATTTTACAAATAATTATCTCCCCAGCTTAATTAAGGATTTTATGAGAAATCATAGAAGCATAAAAATTCTTATGATAATGGTAATTGAAATGGAAAAAAACATTATCGAGAAAAAAGGAATGATATCACAGTCAAGATGAAGCTTACTTTTATTCCGAAACAGTACACATACTGAAGAATCTTGAAAAGACAGACACAAAAGAAGATTTTCAGGCCTCTCATAATGGGTGAGCCTTGGGAATATTTTACGATCTTCTACCATGATTAATTTTGATAACCCTATACGTAAATAATGGCCACTAGAACTTGGCGTCCAAACTTAACAAACAAACACTAAGAGTACAATACAAATGTGATCGTGTTCCGGCGTTAATAAACGTACCTGTTAATTTTCCCCGTTCAAAATTTCAGGTTTATTTTCACTGATGATAAGGGAGAAGAGACTGTAATCACATTTGGCGAACATTCAAATGAGGAACTCATAGAAGGTCAATCTGCTACCCCGTTTCCTCAGGAATACACATTTGAAATAGGAACTACAAGGTATCACCTTATTGATACCCCGGGCATTGGGGATAGCAGGGGCATTGAGAAAGACAAGGAGAACTTCGACAACATTTTGGCCTTTCTGACCTGTTATGAAAAGATTAATGCAGTGGTTGTACTTCTCAAGCCAAACAACGCAATACTGAACGTGGCCTTCCAGTTCTGTATCTTAGAGCTTTTGACCCACCTCCACAAGTCTTTGAAGTCTAACATCATCTTTGCCTTCACGCACTCCAGTGGAACAAAATACAAACCAGGAAACACAAGCACCCTTCCTGTTCTCAAAAAGCTCCTAAAGGATAATAACCTCAACATCACCCTTTCTCCAAAAACCTATTTCTTCTTCGACAATGAAGCATTCAGGTATTTTTTACATTTTTAGACATTTTTAGACAAAGACATGTTAACCCCTTTGACAACATGACACCGTAATTCTTTGAGGCTTGTTATTAACTGAATATTCAACTGGTTAAACTAATTCATTCCCAGAGTTCATGGAGACACAAAGGGTGAATTCATAATGCCCATTTTTACATTACCCCAGTAATACACCTTGGTTACCCCCCTCTTCCCCCCCCCCCTCCACCCCCCTCCCCACATTTTTTTCTTCACTTTTTTTAGGCTCAAAACAATTTTAAAGTCCAGCGGCAAATGCGACGACCATTAGCGGCTGCTGCAAATGAATCCACCCAAAGCCGTTCCAAAATTTGTTGAAACCTCCCTGGAGGCTATTGAGCCTGGCAAACATTTGCACTAGTTTATGTTCATATGTTGGCACGTCTCGTATAGCCTGTTTACTCCAATTATTCCTCTTATTATATAAACGCCAAATTGAATGAAATACCAGTTGAGCTTTCCCGCGAAAACAAGATATCTTCACATGTACTTTCAACATAAATACATATATACTTTATTCGTCCCAGAAGGGCTTTTTAGAAGGTAAAATTAATAATTAATGTCTGTTACAAACAGAGCCTATAAACAACGGAAGTTACTAACTTAAACTAGTAAAAACTATGTACACTGAAACATGGTAAAAAATAGTTTAAAATATCTATTTATGCCTCTAAAACGTTGATATTAGTTTCTAAAAAGACAACTCTTGAAGTCCCTTAAGCAGGGGTCTCGGCGTCTTGGCGAGTCTCGGATTTTACCATTCGCCACCCCTTATATCATAAATTGTGTATATTTGCCTACCTCACAGCTGTTTTTAGTGATTAAACAATCATTTCTATGTAGCACCTTTTCTTCCATTCAAGTTCGTATCCACGCGCGGAAGTGAAAGGGTAAAACCGTTTTTATCGTTCTTTACATTGATAGGTTTCTAGCCTGCCATAAGAATGGAGTTCTATTCGACGGCGACGATGTTGATGACTACTATAAGAGCTGGAAAAAGACACGCGAAGCAACTAAAGAGCTTTTTAAATTCATTACAGACATGCCACCTCACGAGACTAAAAAGACCCTGAGCGTGAACGAGGCAAGGAACTTCATTATCGCCATGAGCAAACCAATGGGTGAAGCTGTTGACCTTATCGATAGAAACTCAGAGAAGATCAAAAAAGCCAGAACCCAATGCAAGGCAGACGACGATGAGATCCAGAAGTTCCAGGAGAGGCTTCATTTCAAAGGCGTTAAACGGAAGAGAAAACATCTGCCTCATCCCATAACTGTTTGTACTCACCAAACATGTAGGCAATACGAACTTATTGGAAAGTCGAAGCAGCGGGAAACAATATTTCCACAGATCTGCCATGATCACTGCTACCTTAAAGGAATCCCAAGTGAAACCACTAACAACCCACAAATTAATAACTGTCGAGCCATGGCTAACGGAACATGCAAGTATTGTAAGCACGACTACAAAGATCACATGCATATGACCTACACTACCTCTCTTGTGGAGGCGACATTCTTGTCAGATGCTGTACAGAAAGAAATCAACGATTTAACCAACGTGAAGGATAAGAAAGAAAAATTCATAGCCGAGTTGGAGAAACGCATTAAAGAGTATGAAGAAGAGAAGGAGGTCCTTTTTAGGTGTGCCAGCCACTTTGGTGCATTTCTCAAGCAGAATGCCATGATTCCCTACAACGATTCCTTCAGCGACTACCTTGACATGCAGATCGAGGTCGAACAGACCAAAGAAGACGGGGATAAAGACAGGATCGCTCAGCTAATAAAGGACAAGCAGACATATGAGATGATGAAGAAAGCTATCATCGAGGAAACCTCGAATCCCGCGCACAGCGAAGAAAAGGACATTCAAATAGAAAAGATCTACGAAATGAGAAACCAGCTCTGCTCTCTGAAACACAATGGCAAGGATCTCAAGGAAGCCCTAGGTACTGTAAATTTCAGCAAATAATCTAAGTTTCTAAGTTCGTTACCATGTCCAAAGATACACGCTAATGAGATCCATCCCCTTTGATGACAGACATCACGAAGTGTCCCCTATCCCTAATCCTCACTTCATGCATACGCCTGCGTAGTTGATTAGAGGGGTCAGAAAAAAAGAAAAGGCAAAAAAAGGAGAGTAAAAACTTTCCAAAGACTGTTATTTAAAATGAAATACGTTACGTTGGCTCCTTACGTGCGTTTATGTGTGATTGCCGGCCTTGGGCCTTGGGTTTTAATGAAATTAGGGCGGGAAAGTCTGGCGGGAAATTTTAACTTGATAGCTCAGCCCAGAAAAATAAAACAAAACAAAACAAAATGGCAGCGGCAGTCAACAAGCGCTAGTTTCTTCTACTCTACAAGCTGCAAAGAAGAAAGACAAGGCAAAAATATAAAAAGTAGTAATGGGTACATGAAATTTTTCAAACTCGGCTATTTTTTCTTAATGATTGTCAGGAGGCTCCTGGATTGTCACATGCTTGTAAAAGAGATGAGAGAAAATGACCCCGAGTTCTTCTTCTACAAATACTTTAGAATGACCCCGGAACAGTACCTTCTTTTCCTCGTGAGCCTGTTGCTGACGGTGAATTTTCCCCATCTCCAAGCGTGTGAGGCCCAAACATATGGCAAAGCTATCAAATGACAAAATCCAGATATATGATTGGTCGAATCTTGCAGAAAACAAAAAGGTCACATAAAATTTGAAAACTGTTCAACTTTTTCGTAGACGCTTGCGATTAATACGTACATTTACGCTTACGCTGTAACAAGAAGAACGGCTTGACGTTTACATGCCTACCCAAAAACGCGTAGAGGAAATCCACTAAGTACTCCAGATTACAAATACTACCCCCCCGAGTGTGGACGAGGAATGCTGGTTCTGTCGCGTTTTTTTTTTTTGTAATGAAGTGAAGATTATACTAATTTATGACGAACCTCTATTGAGCGGCCAATATCCTTTAAGCTGTCCTAGCGCGTACTCCGAGAGTGGCCAGTTAATAGAAGTTCAAATGTATTTGCACTTCTGAACACACGTGGAGAGTTCTTAGTGATGTTATAGGGCAGGTTTAGTTGTTTTCAGTTCTCGACTTTGTTGCTTAAGTTAAATCAGGTCCGTTGAATTCCAGTGTAATTTTAAAGTGGCCTCAATAGTTCAAGCTATGAACGTTGAATAATATGGACGTTGTAGACCCTCTGAAGACTCTGATAACGCAACCCTGCTTAACAAGCTAATACATAACATGACTGTTTCTTTGTAGATAGCATCATGTACGCTAGAAAAGCACCACTTCGAATGGAAAGGTAAAGTTAATTAGGAGGTCTGTTATACTCTGTAGGAATACAAAAGACACAGGGAAAAATGGCGGCTCTACACTGCTAATTCAGCCGTCTCTCTTCGTCTCGTACCGGTACCGCTAGGGACGTTTAGCGGATTAATCGTCTCAAGCGCTGACAGGAGAGGAGAGACGGTTGCATGTATTTGCGCGCAGGCTATGACGACCCCCAGCTATAAAGAGCAAAAAAAACTCGCCCCACGTAAGGGAATCCGGATTGCGGAACCCGAGAAAATTTTGCTTGTGGAATCCGGAATCCTGGGCTTCCGAAATACCGCTCAAGGAATCTGGATCTCACCAACTATTGGAATCTGGGATCCAAGTTCCACGGACAAATAATTCGGTATCCGGTACCTGGAATCCAGAATCCACGGTGGAAATCTAGAAATCTAGAATCCAAGACTGTCTTGGATTCCCTTACATTGGGCGAATAATGTTACAAATCTTCTTTCCTTTTTATAACTTAAAGTGAAAAAAAAAATCTTACATGGTTAGTTGATGGATGCAGAGCAGATATAGCTCACGAAAGCCTAACTGGCATGGTTCCTTTATAACTGAGATCATCAGGAGTTTTGATCTTTAAGGCCTCTAACCAATTTTAAAAAAAGACTCACCAGAAATTTTATAATTACAGAAATAAGCCCCCCGTGAAAGTCACAACCACAGTCTTTGGGGACGTGGCCAAGAGCGTAAAAAAGAAATGTTAGCGGTTTTATCCAAAAGCTGCGGAATCGAATCAGTTCCAGGGGCCCGTTTCTCGAAAGTCCCGGTAACTTTACGGGCCCGAAATCAAAAATTCAAATCGAAATATAAAGAATAAGAGCGCGGGTCCTGGCTAGCAAACTACTCCATTTAGTTTCATTAACTGACCGTTTTATCGTGTTAGATGCAAAACTATTGAAACCTCGATCTTTAATGTAAACGGAGACAGCTTACCGGGCCCGTTAATTATCGGGACTTTCGAGAAACGGGCCCCAGGACAGCATCATCATCATCAACAGCAGCTGCTCCACAACCAAAAGCCGTGTAAAACCTCTCATTTTACTGGACTGTTAACTTGCGGGTTAGTTTGCATGCACATATGATTAATTATTTCCGTTTTTATTCTTTTGATCGATCACTTTCTAGTAAATCCTTTAGATTCAAAGTGGATAATTTGAGTTACCTATACAGTCAACTCACGTTAGTGTTCGTATCAGCAAAGTCTCCTCGAAATAGCGAGGTACAGTAAGAAGTTCCCTTGAAAACACTTGCAGTAAAATGGTAGTATGCTAAAAGTAATCATTTATGAAGTGGAATATATGAAATGAATGATATTTTGAAGTGCGGCTAAAGATATTAAGGTAAACATGATCTTCCCAGGTTGTTCAGTCTACTGCGGAGATCATGTTCACCTAAATAAAGAACTTTTAGTTGATACGGAACAAGGTTAGCGCTAATCTCAGTATAGCTTGTTTCTCAAAGAGAAAGGCAATAATGCGAGATAGAAGCTAAGAAGTATATTTTCAGTGCGTTAAACGTTTAAAGGTGGATCTCAAAATAATGAGAGTTAGAACACTGGGATAATAGTGAGATGTAGTGTTTAAAAAAACGAGTAGGAGTGTATTATCTTCGTCTCGAGTTTTTAAACCTTATAATACACGACTGCGAGTTTTTTGAACTACTTCAAAATCTCTGATATAGACCAACTCATTCTTGCACTTATTTTTAGATTTGAGGTTATTTTGGGCCAAAAAATTGGACGTAAAGTTTAGCCGTGTCTCTTCAGATATAAAGACACTCATGAAAAAGTTAATTTCTTTTGTCTTTTCTTTATGAATTAATAATGATTGAGTGTTTGAGTGTGATGTTGGGACCGAAACTGCGTATGTTAACGATCGCAGTGTTTAGAGTACGTATCAACGGGAGTTTTTTTTTTCAGTCTAACGTGCATATGTTTCGCCGGGATTAAGCTGCTTTCCGGCGCGCCTGTATTTAGCAACAGAAAAAAAAGTCAATTGACGAATGCACGCGCAAATCAAACAACTGGCTTGACCAATGGTAGAGCGACAAATTGGGCACCGAAAGTCGAGTTTAGTCCTTTCCGCGCGCTTTCCCTTCGTCAAATGACGTTCCCGTGCTGTTGCTAAATCAGCCTAAATTCGCGAAGTGTCGCGCCCGTAAGATTCCTGTAACAGCAGAGACGTCCCAAGATCACGTTACGAGAGTGGAATGAAATTTACTCTCTCACAAGAGAGTCGGTGTTGCGTTACAGGCACCGTTGAGACGTTGTATCAGAAATAAAATACTGAGGTTTACGAACGCTAAATATCATTATTTTTCCCTTTTTTCTATAAAATATTAAAGGAGACTTACCTTTGATGTATTCCCGTGTTTTTTGGTGTGATTTCATCGATTTAGTCGACTCTTTGGCTCTATTGTGTGTCCCCTGACAATCCATTCCACTCTCGTCAGTGAGCCTGGGACAACTGTGGTAACAGCGACGTGTCTGCAAGGCCGGGATGTTGGCTATACTAATTATTCAGCTGATTATTTTCGAGACTTATTCTATTCAAGGATAAGTCTTTTTTTAGAAAACCCAGAAACATTATACTGGAGCAGACTTAATTCGTTAAAGAGCATTGATCGACTTTAAATGTTCGTATTACTTTTGTTTTTATTTTTCATAATGCTAGGTTAATATTATTGTTCCGAATAGGAGGTGTATATCTAACGCCATACACCAACCATGTGGGTAGTATTATTACCAAATCAGTTGTGGTGAATAAAAATAAAACATTACTGTCGTCTCCCGATAATTCGAACCATCAAGGGAAACAGACAAAAAGTTCCGAGTTATCGAGGGTAAAACATAGAAAACGATCTTAAGGGAAATGAACATTGCTTCAAGTTAGCGAGAGGCTCGAGTTACTGGTAGTTGACTGTAGTATTTTTTCGTAAAAAGTCGTCACTTAGTAAGAGCTTTGTTTACTTTCTTTCAGTTTGGAAGTGCTTTTTTGTAATTTTTTGCAAATTTAGAAATAATTCTACTTTCAGTATACAAAGTGGGCATAACAGCTACTTGATTTATTGCTAAATTTCCGAAAATGTCATGAAACGAGACGCCATTTTGGCTCCACCCAAACCAGTGAATATCCAAAGATATTTTATATTCCTAGTTAGGGGAGCCAATCAAAACGTGCGAAATTACTATCCAATTAATGATTTGGTAAGTTCTACTTCCTTATTCAAGTTTATATTTCCTTAACTAAAGGGATTTGTGTGTCAAAATTATTATAAGCGTGATACATTTTTTTATGTAGTCAATTTTTTAAAGGTTTTATTAATTATTATTATTATTGTTAGTATTATTATTGATTTTATTATTTTATGTTTTGCTTTTTACTGTCTTACGAGTGTTAAAAGTGTTTACCCTTCTTTGCGACAGATTACAGTATATTTGTGTGTGTAATCAAAGGGTGACGAGTGAAGAGTGAAATTAGTGTTCTTAATACCTCCAGTTGTTCTAGGGAGCTTTAGCAACGACTACAGCGACGGCAACGTCACTATTAAAAAGTATTCTTACTCGTTTCTTCAAACTTGGTCGCGATTATTTCAGTTAGCTTGAAATGTTGGTGAATTTCCCATGAAGTTGAATTCTTGGGGATCACACCCAAGTTTAGACAGAGAAAGAAAAATTCGTCGGCCGGTGAGCTAACATCCTCCATAAAACGTCGTGCAGTGACGGCAAAGAAATGTACAAAAAGTGTGCTGGACGTGCAAAGTTGTTTTGCTATTTGACGTTTTTTATAATTCAGTCGTTGCCGTCGACGTCGTCGTTGCTAGAGTTCCCTAATTGACTTTTATGATACGGCGGGAAGAACTATTATGATTGTGAGACATATACTCAAAGGTTTAATATAATGAAAGGCGTCTTCTCATGTTTCGGAGTTTGTTGGCAAAACGTAAACAATTCGTTCCTGACAATCCCTTTTTTTTTCGAAACCGGGAGGGCTTCCGGCGTCTTGGGAAAACAAGGCATATGTTTACACTTTAGTTAGTTATATTATAACCCAGTGTATACTAAGAAGTAAGAGTGTCAATTTATTAGTTTTTTATATATATATATACAAATCTCAAAATTTCGTAAACGTTTTGAGTGTCTGAGAGCTGAAATGCATTTGTTTCTTTTTGTCTTTAAAACGGGCAACCGAAAAACAAAAATTGTGCAACTTGTTTTGCAACATTGCTGCAGTGAGAGTTGAAAAGCTATGTTCCACGTTTTCCATCCAAAACAAACTAACATGATTTGTTGGGACACTGGTGTAATTCGTGGGTGATAAAACGTGCACCATCGCTCTTCAACTCGTTTTGCAGCAATGTTGCAAAACAAGTTGCAGGTTTTTGTTTCCTATTTTACTCTACCTTTAAGGAACGTGAATGATTACTTGTCGATTAGTCCCCGGCATTTATAGCTGGGCCTTGAGTTGTTTTTTGTTAAACTAGGATTTAAAAGAAGCGAAGATTGCAATTTTTAAAAATGAATGAGGGTTTTTTTTCCTCGTAATTTTTTGCTTATATTGATACTAACAGTCTTATAAGTAGCTTAAAATAAAAATATACGGTGAGTTCGTTTACATTGCTCCTAATTGATAGAAGTCAAGGGAGCCAATTTCAAACCAATTCATTTTACCACTTAACTTTTACCATTTACCACGTTTGCGTGCCAAAATTGAGTGATTTCCCAGAAACACATTGTGGTTTGGTACAAAAACCAATCGCTCTAACTGTACTTTCAATATCCCAGTAGCGTTCAGCTTTCTATGGTGCGTAGTAACCGGAGACCCAGCGGTGACTAACTGAAGTAGGGAATATTTGTGTGCGAAATCTAGTTGTCTGCTTGAGCGTCTTAACTTGCACAGCTATCAACCCAACACCGTTTTCACTGTTGAAGAGAATCCAGACCACTTCTTTGACACTGCTTTCGCTTATAAGAACAAGTTCAAGAAACCAGGAGAACTACGGCGCCTAACAAAAAAGCTGAACGCATTTTCGGTGAATTATAAATATTCCAATAAGCTACCCCCGCTGGGTCGCCAAGGATGTTGTATTAAGTACCAAGCGGCCTTTGACTGATGTTTCCTTTGTTTCTCACTTTTTTTACTTTGGCCAAATTTAATTGGTTACGGACCTAGTCACAGTGTGTTTCAAGGATAAGTGTGTGCGTATTTCTATTTTTAAAATAACTGTTAAATTTGCTCAGTTGTCAGCAAACCAGGCAGATAAAAGGTTTAGAAATAAAGACAAGTTGAGCTGATTTTACTTGAGTTTTGACTACACATAAAAACAAATTTGCAACTGCCTTGCCACATTACTAACACCCCGCGCATCAGTGGTCCTACAGTTTTTTACAATTTGCGTCAGACTGATGCTATAAAGCCATTGGTCACGCTAAATGTTACCATGGCAACTTAAATGATGCCATGAACGGATCATAAGAAATACAAGACCCTGGATATTCGAACGCTGGATAGCACTATTCTTATCCAGTGGATAACGCTATTGGATTCTTTACTTCTTATCCGGTGAATAGCGTTAACACCTTTTGAACAACCAGGGCCAGGAGCAAGAAGTGGAAAATGTTATCGGCGCAGGGGTTTAAGGCCAACTTATCTGCAAGATTTTTTTTTCAATAGGGGGACAATTGAGTTGTTTTTACAAGAGTTTTCCATCCGATGGGGGGAGGGGAGTGGGGGGAGGGGGGCAGTGAGGGTGGAAGGGGGACTGTCACTCTTCACCAGTTGTTTCCTGAATTGTCCTAAAAAATGGTCCTAAAGTCAGTTCTTCCTAAAGAACACGGCTAATTCAGTATTGGCTCAAAAATCTTGGCGTAGCAGCTATATGTGCGGATCGACGACTCGTCAACCTGACTGGTTTGGCACTGAATGAAAGAACTTTTGCACATATAGTTATTTAAGGTTACTCTCTGGAAACAGGACGAATGATGCAAGCATGATCCATGTTTCACAGCCCGCGGTGCACTGAGCACCTTTTTGCAAGCAGGAAGTTCAACTCTGAACACGCTGATTGGAAAAATGCTTTGCTTAATTGAAGACCTCTTTGGTCGTTTTCGTTCCATATGGAACGATGCATATTTTCCTTTATAGATTCATTTAGTTTTCAGTTTAAGCCATTGAGTTGGTAAGCAGTAACGTCAGCAAAGATAGATCTTTCCACCGATACCTCCTTTTAGAAATTCCGATTGGCCTCGACAGTTACACACAAAAATTCAAGTAACACTTTGCGGAAAAATCCACTGTCAATTTTGCCATTTACCTACTACTCTTTGCAGATTAAATTTGTCCCTTTCCAGTTAGCTAACCACAATTCCATGCAATGAAGTTCACGAAACACACATTTTCAGTGACTTTTTTTACACCCCTTTTAGACCTTTTTTTTTTTTTTCCATCCTTTTCAATCAGGTTATCTAGCACCTCGATATGTTACAACCATGATAAACTTTGTAAATTAATATTACTAGAACTTTGTTGTTGTCACAGGCCTAACAGCGGCTAATTACATTATCGGCCACCGGTAGGTTCCATGTACAGTGTAGCAGCCAAACCTTCTATTAAAAATTTGTGGAAAAATAAAAAAAATTGAAATGTTATTGGAACTGATTTGCAGTTGAGGTCAAAACATGCAGCTGAGTAAACAAAATTGTCTTTCTTCAACCATGTCCATGGAAACTCACAAAAGTTGCTGATTTATTTATCACTTAGGTCCAAAAAAGTCTGAAATTGCCAATTCATTCTATCAGTTTTCATGTCTTCTGTTTACTTCAGTAGAGGGTCATCTTTTTAACTTTCAGGTGCCACCTTCTTAGATTAAAGTCTATTGTTAACTATGTACTCATTGAAAAACTCAACTCTTGTATCAGCTTGGCGAAATAAAATCATGAGCCGATATTCCTGAAACTTTCCTGTTGAATGACTGAGTACCACAAGTATATACCTATTTAACGAAGAGGTTGTGTTTTCCTTGGTTTAGAAATAATGCTTGTGGTCGGCTAATGGTTCATTTATTTACAAACCGATTTTGTGCACACTCATCCAAAATGCCATTCAACTATGTCGAGTCAGCGATGAAATGTTTTACCGCGGCTGTTCACAATCTACAAATTCAGCGAAACAAGTGGGGAATATCAATATTTTGGGGATATTTGTCATCTTGAAGTGGTACAGAATTGAAGACGACGTAAGACGAACGAAGAAGTTTTAAGTTGTTGCTTTTTTGGAATAGTGCAGAAGCTTGGAGAGAACATTTACTCCATATAATTATGGACAACTTTCAAGCCATGATATGCTTGCATGGCTGATCATCGCTTTTGTTACTGTGGCTGGCACTGGAACTCTAGCTTACTTTTACTACAAATTGCTTAACTATTTCATTAGAATGAAGATTGAAGCCGAACCTGATCCTGAGCCTCTAGAGAGAGAAACAAAATTAAAAAGAACGTTTCGGGTAAGAGAAGGAGATGATTCCGACGAAGAAAGAATTAACATATTCAGCGTAATTAATAACAGTGACATGGCGATCGAACGAACTTGAAAAAATCGTCAGTTCATCAGTTACTTCGTAGTTGGCTAGTCAGTTAGATTAGTTAGTTAGAGTATCAAAAACGTATAAGTTTTTTCTTGTAGTCGGACGCCATCGGGCTAATGTAAGTAATATGCAATTAAAAAGAATAGACATTGTTTTGCCCATATAAGCTCCTTTTCTCTGGTAATGAATAAATTTGACAACTGGACTATACTAATTTGCTCCAGTAATTCAGCAGATAATTGCTATAAAGTTCATCTCCTCCGTAAATTCTGCCATGTGTTTATTCAAGTTATAGACACTGAGTAAATTTGCAAGTCTCTTCAGAGAAATGGCCATCTTGAGATCTCACTACATACATACTGATTATCGCACAATTGCCAACACTCCTTAACGCTAATATGCCTCGGAAGTCCGCCAAAAGAAGTATCAGTTTGTTCTATTTAGTTCCATATGTATTACTAACAGTTTCCGCTCAAATCCTCGTTGTTCCTTGTTGCACCCTCCAATCACAGTAAGTTTTGTCAAGATTAAGGGTGATCACTTCTAGACATATATACCTGTGGAAAATCCTTGTGAAGAAACGGGGCACAGATGTCCGTATTTCGAATCCTTGTCCTTTGCCTTGCTTGACGCTACCGCATACGCTATGGCACCAAACACACCAACAAAAAGAACAGTAACTCCGACAAGTAGTCCAATGGCAATAGCAGAGTACATTGCGGCGTTGACCAGAGTCTTAATGATGTGGGTTGGTCATATCGCGGAATAGAGAGCAAATGGTAACTCCGCGAGTGACACCGAAATTCTGGGGCATGGGGAGACTAGAGACTAGAGACGAGGAAAACGTTGCAGCAGTTATGCCAAAAAATCGACACTGGCAGGATACTGGTAGAAATTTTGGTCAAAAATTGAGTATTTATATTGGAAAACGAAATCGGCCTCTCGAGGGGTATTGTTCTTTCACCAGTTGGTTCACCGTGATGGACTAAAGTGTTCAGTGGAGACAAAAATAAAATGGAACGTTTCGGTTCGTCCGACCGTGCCCGAGAATGAGTGGGGTGATCAAAAGGCTTCATCGGAAGAGATGTTAATCAGTGACCAACAAGTAAAAATTAAATTCTCTTTTAACTCTTTCCTTTTATAAATTCAGAGTTTAATTTCATTTCCCTTGAGAAGCGGAATAACCTTCCTTTTCCGTGCAGTATGCTTTTCTTCCTCACATGACGCTGACATTGGCGAGAATAGACTGTGTGACCAGCTAAAGGAATGTTTATGTGTGAGGCAAGGAGCTGGGACTACTGTTTCATGCTAGTTCGTTTTCCGTTTCTCTCAGTTTTACCTTTCTAAAGCTGTTTTTACATACATAGTCCGTAATCCGCGTTTTATACCCAGTCCATGTTTTATATTCAGTCCGGAGTCCACATTTTTTACCTAATTAATCCGTCAGTTTTATACCCTGTCCGCAGTCCGCAGTCGGTGTTTTATACTGACCGCATTTTCCCCCACCCTTTAGTTTGTCTTTGTCTCCGTGAGCACTTTTTAATGACTAAGGCCAGTTCCGGAAGCGGAAAGACGGGAGCACAAACTGTCGAGTGAAGAGGCTGGAGAAAACTTACCAGAAGAGTTAAAACCTTAGTTAAAGATCAGAATGGGAAGGAAACTTTGAACTTGTTTTAATTTAAACTTCCAAGGTTATGAAATAGAAAGTGCTGACGTCAGCGAAATATTTCGCCCCTGCCTATTACCGCAGTCCCCCTCCTCAGGAGAAAATGCAAGTTTTACGTCACTTCCTTGACATTTCTTGGTAATCTGTTCCTGTTCTCGGAAAAGCTACAAAGAAGAGATTTTTCTCTAGATTCCGTATTTGATGCGGCATTTTCAGAGCGCTTTAATTGGTAGAGCTTCACAAATTTTAGAGTAGCTTCAGGTACGTAAGAATTTTTGAAAACTTTCGCTATTTCTGTGTCAGAATCAAACGAACAATCTCGAACAATCAGATTTGCGTTTTTATAGTGCATAATAAGCCACTGGGATCCGTCTTGGTTAAGCTTTATATGATGTTAGAAACTGTCGCTTTTCGCTATTGCCTACACTACATTTTGTAAACGATTTCTCCAGTGTCGGTCAGGGCTCTTTCAGCTTTGAAAACGATGCCTTGATCTAGCATTTGGGGGCTTAACGTTTATGGCGTTTTATATCTCTTTAATAGTCTTGGGGAAGTGGCCTTGTGAAGCTTAAGTGGGTCTTGGAACTAGCGACATTTACCAAGGGAATTTCGCTTTTATACAGTGAAGGTGAGCAATCCATGCTTAATTTATCACATGATTTAACAGATTTTTGCTGGCCTAAGTAACAGTGTATCTCTCTTGCGGACACAACTGAAAAAAATTGTTGTTTCTCAGCAGTTGAGGACAAAAAGTTTGACTCCAACCGAGATTGTCGGTTAAGAATAAGCTTACTCAGTTTCCTCAGAGTCAATTTGCTACTGGATAATTAACTTAATAAAGATCAACCGATAATGTCTTCACTTCATGGAGTTTCTCTTTGGAGCAGTTGTTGTTCTCAACCCAAGCTAAGTGGTGCCATGATCACCCCAAATCCTATAAATGACAATGAAAATCAGTATCGTTTAATATCTAAACAGAAAAATTCTTTGTTGCTTAAGAAATTACATTCGACACTCACGTCGCGGTTTTTATCGAGGTAAGTAAACGCAGTTTTCAATGTCCGTCCATCGTTTCCTTAGAAGTACGAAACTAGGACCGGAATTAGTTGTGTTACTTACACCAACAACCTGTGTTTGACGCCATGATTCATTCGGGTAGTAATATAAGACTGAATAAAAGATGGCGCCTTCGCATCCAAGCTTCGGGACGTACCTATTATATATGGGAGAACACTGACTGGTTATTTTTCGACGAGCTGGGGTGCTGAAGCGAAGACGAGATCCGGTAGACAATTTAGCAAGAGATATGTTATCAGGTTACAGAGACCCTACAGAACTTAGATCTACTGACTTAATTTGCCTGGTCAGTCTGTATGCTGATTTACTTGATTTACTTGAATGCTCCATGGCCAAGGCTCAAGGTGTAGACCACTCTCTGTGCTTACGTAAAAGCCAGAATGATCAGGAAAATGTTTTTAATTAGTTTGGTGCCTCATTTGCAACAAAATGCCATATCTTAAGGCAATTTTTGGTGATTTTTGTTCGATTTTAGATCCCAGAGTAGACTCTTTTTTCTCTAATCTTCAGTAAAAACGACAAAAACATCAACAAAGTCTGTAATTGAAAGGACTATGTTGCCCTTCTTTAACTTAAATAAATACATTTCTCGGAAAGAAGCAAAAGATTTCTCTGAATTATGGTAATTATGACTTCCTGTTTTCGATCCTGAGCAAGTCGGCACTTACTGAAACTGGCCGCAAAGTGTTTATCATTTTGCGCAGACTACGTAACCATGGCAAGACCAGAGTTCGATGTTGTTGATACCCCACGTCACGTTAAACTATAATATCAGTGTTTGCAAAAAGGCAAAAAAAACTGAGAATGAACAAACACAAAAAAGGTAAATTCAAAGTTTAAGTTTATGGGCCTCAAAGACATAAGGGGCACAGCAACGACTTGTGGGATAAAAACTGTGCACTACAATTAACAGTTCGTTTTTTCCATACAGCAAATGAAAGCTAGACCATAGAGCCGGCCTGGTTAACGTTTCCTGCCCCTTGCGAGCTGTAAAAGTCCCCTTCAAATCAATAAGAATTTAAACAGCAAGGCTGATAGTCAGTGAAGTCTATATCTTGAATTCTTAGAAAATGGATGATCAAAAAGAGGAGGTCAATATTCACGATCTTACTGATGCCACACGTGAGGTAAACTATAATTATATCAGTGTTTGCTCCTTGTAGGTAGAGGTTTGGCCAATAAAAACGCACAGCCAAAAAAAGAGAATTCGAGGCTGAGTGTATTGATCTCACCAGGCTTAACAGGGCACAACAACGGCTTGCGGATTATTTATTTTGCACGCCGGTTAAGCAGATCCTTTTCCCACACAGCAAATGAAAGACGCCGGTAATAAATCACATCCCCATCTATTTTCTTTTTCTTTTTGGCACGTCTTCGTCCCCTTCCAGCTCCTTCAAATTGATAAGAATTAAAAAGACGGGCTGGTGGTCTTTTTAACTTGCTGCAACTTGTACTTTGGATCTCCTGGTATGTATAATAACCAAAAAAATTTTTTTTGAATAACTTAAATCCTCAGGATATGGATGATGGAAAAGAGGACGTCAGCATTCTCGATCTTGACGCAAGTGAGGTAAACTATAATTTCATCGGTTTGTTCGACGAGAACCAATAGCAAGGAAATTAATAGGAAGTTTGGGGAGTAAGTTTATAGGCCTCGCCTAGGCTAAGGGTACAAAGAGCAGCTTGACGAACATTTATACCAGCCGTGTTGCCCCGTTGAACGTACAGTTCCTTTTTCAACAAAGCAAATGAGAGATAGATCATACTTGACCCGGTGGTAAACGTCCCCCTGTTCTTTTGCAACAGTATAGTTTCTTTATTCTTGTTTTTGCTTTTTCCCCCTTTTCTTTTAATTTATTCAGTCAAGTACCCTTCAAACCCTCAAACTGATAGGGATTATATTTATAAGATAAAACCAAAGGTCTAAAGTGTGATATAACTAGTCCAATTTTCTGCCTTTAAAAAGGTGTCGTTTGGTTTTTTATATATATAATATATAATTATATACTTGAATCGAAAGGAAATGGATGATGGAAACGAGGAGGTCAACATTCAAGATCATCCCCTTGCTGGTTCTTCAAATGAGGTGAACTATGACTTTATTAGTGTTTGCATGCAGGAAGAGGTTTGTTCAGCAAAAAGGAACAGCCAGAAAAAGGGCGTTCAGGTTTATGGACCTCGCCAGACTTGACAGGGGCACAACAATGGCTGTGGGTCATTTACTGCGCGCCCTGTTGAAGCAGTTCCTTTCCTCGCACAGTAAATAAAAGATAAACCATAGTACCATGCAGATACAAGCTGATACACTATAGTGCCGAAAAGTCTTCCTCAAATTGACAAGGATTCAAAAGACAAGCGAACGGTCAGTGATTAGTGTGGTACAACTTGTGTGATGGTACATTAAAACGGTAACATTTATTTTTTAATACAATGTGTACAGAAAATGGATGATGGAAAAGACGATCTTGCTGATGCATCACATGAGGTAAACTATAATTTCATCAGTGTTTGCATATAGGCAGAGATTTGTTCATTAAAACGCACAGCTAGAAAATTACTTGACATGGTTATAACTAGACCATGTACAGGGGCTGAGCTAAGTACCATGGTTAACATTTTAACGTTCCTCTTGCTCTTTTCGAACTGTAGTTTCTTCCTTTTTTATCCTCTTCAATTTGACAAAGATTAAAAAGACAAGTCCGACGGTCAGTAAAAGAGTCTAAAGAGTGGCACAATTTGTGTGATTGACATTTGCTTTCAATGCATGCATACTTATAAATTCGCAGGATACGGATGGTCGAAATGACTCCACAGAGGACGTCAACATTGTCGATCTTGCTGATGCCCGACCAGAGGTAAGCTGTGAATTTATCGATGTTTGGACATAGACGGAGCTTGTGAAGCAAAAAAAATAGTAAGAAGAAGAGAATTCAAGGTCGGTAACTTAAGAGGTACAAAACATTACGGCTTGCGTATCTTTTTACGCACCAAATGAAACTTTAAGATAGATCATGGTACCGTGGATAACTTTCCCTGCTCTATTCGAGCAGTAGTTTGTTGTGTTTTTCTTTCCTTGTTTTAATTTTCCCTGGTCTCCCCTTGGAATGTGCGAGGATTAAAAAACAATGCCGATATCCGTAAAGTGTGATACAACTTTGGTGATTTTCTGCCTTCAAAAAGACGTTCCATTTTGCTCAGTGTTGGATATTCCTAAATCCGTAGAAAATGGATAGTGGCAAAGAAGACGTCAACATTCTCATACTCGGAGAAACTGGAGTGGGCAAGTCAACCTGGATCAATGGAATCGCCAACTATTCTAAGCATAACTCTCTGCAACATGCCATGGATGATCCTGAATTCACTGTCTTAATTCCTTCAAGGTAAAGTATACGTAGTCGCAAAACAAATTAAATTACTAGGCCGATACACCTGCATTAATTAAATTGTCACTAGAGGTACCAAAGTGACAATTAAAGTGATCTAACTCTTTAATTTTCATTCTCAGATTTATTTTCACAAATGATGAAGGAGAAGAGGTGGACATCATAATTGGAGCTGATCCAAATGAGGATCTCAAAAGTCATGGACAGTCTGCTACCCAGTTCCCTCAAGAGCATATCATTGAAACGAACACTGCAAAGTTCCATCTCATTGACACCCCGGGCATTGGCGACTGCAGAGGAATAGAGAAAGATAAGGAGAACTTCGAGAACATCTTGGCCTTTCTAACCTGCTATGACAAAATTAATGCTGTGGTTGTGCTTCTCAAACCAAACAACGCAAGACTCACCGTGGCCTTCAGGTTCTGTGTGTTAGAACTGCTGACACACCTCCACAAGTCGCTGGTGTCCAACATTATCTTCGCCTTCACAAACTCCAGAGGAACCTTCTACAGACCGGGGGACAGTCTACCAGTTCTCAGACGGCTCCTGAAGGAGAGAAACATCAACATCACACTCTCTCCGTCAACCTATTTTTGTTTTGATAATGAAGCATTCAGGTACTTAACGCGGAGTCATTATTTGACTAAAATGTGTAAAAGTTAGCTGACACGATATAATAGAAAAAGGCCGAGAGTACAATTTCAGGGTCAGGCATTTTATACACTGCGTTCTTTGAATTACCAAGGCGCAAAAAGACAAGCTTCTCTAGCTGATTTAAAGTAAATCATGGAGACACTAGCTAAACTGACTATTTCTTTCGTCTTTGTAGATTAACGTTCTTCAGCATATAGTCTGATAAATAAGCTAAATACCTCTCCAAAAATGCTTTTAACATTATTTATTCTCTTTAAAGTAATTTTCAAATTATTTTTAGCGATTTTTCTTAATTTCGTTGCTTTATCATTAATGGCTCTCTATCTTCAATGAAAGGTTCCTAGCCTGCCACAAGAATGGAATTCAGTTCACACCTGAAGAAGTTGACCTCTTCTCGAAAAGCTGGGACAAGTCATGCGACACAACTTGCGAGCTTTTTCATCTCGTTACAAACATGCAGCCCCACGAGACTAAGAAGACCCTAAGCCTGAACGAGGCGAGGAACTACATAATCGCCATGAGTAAGCCAATGGGTGAAGCTGTTGAACTTATTGAGATGAACGTGAAGAAGATCAATGAAGTCAAAGAACAATGCAGGCTCTTCGACGTTGATATCGAGCGCTTTCAAGCTGAACTGAAGTTTAAAGGCTTCGACCGGGAAGTGAAACCCCTGAACTACCCAATGACTGTTTGTGCAGACACCGCATGCAAGAAGTATGTGAATGTAGGAATGTCAAGGGAGAGGGAAACAATATATCCACAGATTTGCCATGACCACTGCTCCATTAGAGGAGTTCCGGTTGAAACTACCAACAACGAGCAACTTCATGGCTGCGCGGCCATGTCCAACGGGACTTGCCATCATTGTGGGCACAACTACAGAACTCACATGCATATCACCTACTCTACTACCCTGGTAGAGAAGGAATTCCTATCGTCCGATGCACAGAGTAAGATTGCCGAAAAGACCAACTTGAAGGATCAGAAAGAATCGTTTATCGCAAATTTAGAGAGCAGCATCAAAGAACTTCAAGACGAAAAGGAGTTCATTTATGAATGTGCTGGCCGCTTTGGCGTATTTCTCAAGGAGAATGCCATGATTCCCTATAATGACTCCTTTAAAGAGTACCTTGATATGCTGATTAGGGACGAAGAGGCAAGAGAGCAAGAGATAAGAGACGACGAAAAGATCGCTCAACTGAAGAAGGACAAGAAGACATATGAGCAGAAGAAGAAAATCATTATGGAGAACATCCAGTCGGGATGTCAAGGCGGAGAAAATCTCATTTCCATAGAAGCAATCTACAAAATGAAAGAAAAGCTTTGTCGCCTGAAGCACAACGGGGAAGCTCTGAGGAAAGCCCTAGGTACATTGTAAAGTAACCTCTTATTGACTTAAGTGTCAGCTTGAATTGGTGTAAGGATTCGCGCTGTTTTTAGAGTGGTGCCACGGACTGCATCGAACAATTCTCATTCGGCTTTACTTTAGAAATTTGGCTGCGTTATATTCTTCATTTAAAATTACGTTCCGTGGCCTGCTCATACCTCTAAAGACGCCATAGGAAGAAGTGTAAAAATTCAAACGAAATTAGGACTGACTAACTTTGCTCGCGAAACCGAAAGCGAATGCTTTCTCATAGTGGCCTCTTTTGGCTGGATGGCTCGAGAACGTCATTACATGATCAGGCGATCAGTCTGGCTCGGTTATTATAATTTTGCAAGTTAAATTTTTGAGACCCTTTGCCAGCCAAAGTAATTAGTTTACTTTCCCTCAAATTACTGTGGCATGTTTTGTAGTTTTTGCCTTTTCACCCACAGTTGTATGCTAAGTTTTAATTGTTTTCAGTGTTTCTCGAGCTCTTCAATGAATAAAATCTTCCGTTAATTTCGGCGATCTCATGATTGTGAAATAAAAATAAGTTAACGGATGACTTTTATTTTTTAGATGGCATCATGTCAGCTAGAAAAAGAAGCCATAGCGAGAGAAGGTAATCTTAAAAATATGTGAAAGAGATGTGACAGCATTACTCACCAGTTTATTAGGTATAAAAGAAAGCGTTTTAGCTGTCAAGTTGATTTTCATTCATAAGTAATCGTTTCCATTTCCCCCCGTTTTTCCTCTCCTTTTTTTTACTGAAAACTCACATGTCATATTTTAATTTCAGTCGGAGGAGCTACGTGAGAGCCACAAGCAACGCATACTGGGGCATAGGTAGCTACCTAAAACGGAAGATTGGGCGGCTGAATCCGTTCAGGTCAAAGGCTTTAGTGCCAATTGGAGCATGGCCAAAAGCCATATAAAAACCACTTGAGTTTACTTAAATGTTCTTGAACTGGCGATTTTAGCATGTAAACGTAAACGCAAAGAATATGAAATTGATACATTCTTCGTTTGATTTTAGCTTGCTTTAGTAATCATCATTAATGTACTCGTTTACTAGATGTTTATTTCAAGTAGAACCAATTTCTCATGTTTGTGAAACTTGGCAAGCATTTTCTTATTCACGCTTCCATGTGTGTGATCAGAAAGTTTGTCTTTATCAGCTTAAGTCACGTGACTCACAAATCGACTAGTAGCAGTCCAAGTGTTTCACCAAAATGGCGAATACATATAGTCCAACACTCGTTTTGTGACGTCATTAGGACGTCATCATTTAAGTTTCATGACGGAATCAGAGTTACGAACAGCACATGCAAGCGTGATGTCTTGAAACGGCTATGCTGGGGGTCTTCGACATCTTGATACACTTGAGTACATGACTGCCAAGGTTTTTTGCATGATTGTAAAATCAATTGTTTTAAGTAGGTTGCATCAGGAAATTTAGATGGAAATGAAAAAAGTTATGTTAGTGATTACGAGGTATAAAAATGATTTATTTCGATAGTCGGTTTCTTTAATATAAGCGTTAGCCAAATCTCTGTGAGGAAAGTCGTGGCGAAAGTCTGGCAAAGAACTCTTTAAATGCCCTTTCGAAATACAGGACACTAAAAAGCAACAACCGAATTTTTAGCTTCTAAAATTGAGAGAATAATTACTTTTAATCAACTATTCGATGATGTCAGTGGTGGAGCTATGGTGGTAAAATCTTCGAGACAGATGGATGGATAATAATGTACGTAGGTCTTGTAGAAGTCTTGTTACTGAGACAATTTTTGCCGCATTTTTGATTCACCTAGGAATCCATTTAAAGAGGTCACGGTACAGAAAGCAGTTAACATGTAGCTTATTTAGCGTCAGTAAATCTTCCCGCCCATGGTAGATGATACCAGCGTTGATTATTACACGTTTTGCAAAATTCAGAAAAGAGTGTTCACTGATTTGGTTTTCCCCTTATTTCTACTTTCATTCATGTAGTAGATCTTAGTATGATTTTCTGTAAAGGCAATCTCCTTTTTGAAATTGAAATTGAATAATCATCAGTGGAGAATTGACAGAATACTCTAGAGCTGCTCTAGAGTGTGTTTACTTCATTCAGAATATGTTAGTAAACTTACTACACAGCACTTACTACACAGCGCACTTAGGGTCCTCAAACAAAGACGCTTTGAAAATAAAGTGTTTTTAAAATCAGCAATAGTTGTTTTGTTATTCGTCACCGGGATTCATCTACTCCATTATCAATCATGAAGTTCGTAAATTTGAGAAACGATAAATGCAATACCAAATCACCCAGTGTGAGGGAATCGAAGAAATATTTGATTGTGGAATGGGGGATCCTGGGCTTTGGACTCCGGAATTCAGCTCAAGGGATTCGGAATCCCACTAACGATTGGAATCCGGAATCCAAAGCGTAGAATCTAGACTCCAAGACTGTCTTGGATACATGAAGCGAACCAAAGTCAAATATGCGGCCAGACGGACAAGAGTGGGCTAGATAGCTTTCTTGGATTTAGAGAACTTTTCAGAAAGTAATGAATTAAAGTAAGTCCCTGTGAAGTGGAATTCTTTCCGGTCACGTCACTTATCTACTAGAGTGTTCTCACAGTTATCAATTTTTCCGACAATGCTAAATGCTTCTTTTCTGAATTATTACGGAGTTGGTGATATTATTAAACACCACTCTGTTCATTCCAAAGGGTTATATAATTTTTCTTGCTTGACAAAACCTAGAACACTCAGATCGCCCCATGTCAGGGAATCCGGATTCCAGAACCCGGGAAAATTTTGCTGGTGGAATCCGGATGCCTGGGATTTGGAATCGGAATCCAACTAACGATTGGAATTTAGAATCCACGTTCCACAGATAAAGACTGGAATCCAGTAATTGGAATCGGGAATGCAGAATCCTAGACTTCCTGGATTCCCTTTTATGGGGCGATTCAGAGGGTTGTCAGTGGCGGATCCAGAGGAGGGGCCAGGGGGGCCGAAAAACTTTTTTTGGAGAGCGCCCCCCCCACCTTATCTCAGGGTCTGGATGACTGCCCCCTCCTTATCTAAAGGTCTTGATCTGCCACTGATTGTCTACGGTATGTATTTGGACGCTCCCCCTTCCGATTGTAAAACTACTATTTACTTTTTGTGACTTGTCTTCGTATAGTTATTTCACAGTATTTGCGCAAAAAGTGTATTTCATAAAGAGTGAGAGGTTAGTACCGGTGGTGTAGTCATGGTGTGGTGTAGTACCAGACGAAAAGAAGAAATTTGCTCAAACTCCTACCATAAGTCCTCTTAGTTTTTGGTCAGCGGATGGGCTCCTGGGAACCACTTGCTTGACCAAAACTAAAAGCCAGAGGAATCTGGGTACGAGATTTAAATTCCCCTTAGTTTTAATTATCCGCTGATGAACGATTAAAGGATTTAAAATTCATTAGAAACCTTAACGAATACGTTTCTACAAATTACGTCAGAATTTCATTAAAGCATTTTCAATTGAGGCTAACATATCCACGCTCAAGTACTAGAAAATTTGCATTTTATAGGCTATTGTAACTTAAACAAGTGATGTTTGCATTTTTCTTAAGTTTAGTGTGTCCCTTGATTGTATCCAGTGCAAGAGGGTATTTTTGGACCAACATTGGAACATCGCAGTTGGAATACCGGTATCAGTAATTAGAGAAAAAAATTGAAAGCTAGATTAGCCGGAGATAGCTGGTAGAGTAAGACTTATTACTGAATTTGTCATGAAAATAACAAAGTATTATATTATTATTCATAAGGCTCATAAGTAATAAAAGTAACTGAATATAAGTGGAAGTTTTATTTTTGTTTAACCCCTTGTTCTGATCCAAATAATTAAGAATACAGACGGTGTCGCAGTTTCGCGCGCTCTTTCCGTTTTGTAGCCAGCACCGGCCGGCTGATTGATTCTTTTTCACTCACGTGACCAGTAGTACCGCGAATTTTCTCGGAACTTGAAAACAAAGATTTAGCACGAGAACGTGTTATGCCTCCTATTCTCAGACTTTTTGTGTTTTTTTCTTTCCTTTTTTTTGTAAAAGATTTTTTAAAAGGTTTCTTTGTTTCTCATCGAACCGACCGACCGAAAATCAGGAAATGAACTTGATGCTAAACGAAAAAAAGAAAAAGAAAGAAAGAAAGAGAGAGAGAAAAGGGCATGGCCTTTAATAAACGTACATTGGAAAAGATCAGTGTGTAATCATTATCCTGTCCTAAGCCTGGTTCCACAACATGCAGTCAGTTTTATTGGACTGAGGTTCTGAGGTTTTTGTGATATCTGGAACTGAATCATAATCAAGGCAAGCCATTGTTCAGTCTCAGCCGAGGCCAGTGATTGATTGTGGACATTGTTTCCTCGGTATGACGAACAATTTTTTTTACCCCGGTAATAGTAAAATGTATGGCAAATTACTTCGATATAACGAAAACTCGTTATAGCGAACAAATTTTGACAGTCCCTTGACACTTCGCTATATCTAGGTTCCACTTTAACGAGAAACATTGTTCACACGGAACACAGTTTGACATTGCTCTTGGAAATCGCCAAACGTGCAGATAAGTCAATTATCTAGCAAGTAACTAACTAATCTGAAAGTTGCGCTGATTTCTAACCGTACCCCTTAGCCAATAAGACGACAGGATACAAAAATATAATGAACTAGACGAGAGTACTAGACAAAGACTTAGCCCAGAAAGATAGGGTCCCTGTCGAAAGATTGCACTGAATTGTGGGATATGTCTACTTCGTGTTTCCATTCAGCGGCCATTCAGCTGTCTTAGAAACTAGAGGTAAAAGGTCTTTAGAATCTTGAGGTGAACCCCAAACTCAAAAAGAAAAATATCGACGGGCGATCTGTCATTTGTCGTTATATGTAAGTTGCTGTTTAATCGTGAAGATGAAAATCTTCAATCAGTGATTCAAATGAGCACACGAATAAGTCAGTTATGAACGGGACGATAGCAGGAGAGCGAGACGTTCAAGAGATTATTTCGAAATCAAGGGCAGAATTTGAGAGACGGCGATGGATTCTTATTACCAATGTACCAGATAATGTTGACTTAGAGGTACGTAAATCGATTTTAACGATAGTAAATAACTGTAGTCACCCTTCAGCCTGGAATCCAATATCCTGGATTTGGTTTGATCATAAGCTTACCTTAAGTCCATTATTTTGCACTATATATCTCAATTCCCCAAGGAAACCCTCGTTAATCATGATCAAATCGCCAAAGTTTCCTTGAACATTGTGATGATTTCGATAGAGTTCTCTCCAGTAGCCTTATCCACAAAAGTTCTTAGTATAATAGAAGCTTCTAAATAGCTTTAATAGTGCTGTCTGCTTTTTGAATCGCCTTCTCCTCCACCAATGCACTAGGCAGCTGAAATGAACAATGTGATGTTCCTTGGCCTGCCTTGAGAACTGGGGTTGACGGGGATAGAGGAGAACTCGAAGGGGGAGAGGTGTCATGGACTGGGAGATAAAAAATTGGAGTCAAATTTTCTCACCATTGAGATGGTGTTTAATAAACTCAAAAATGCTCTGCTCCTTTGGAGCAAACACCAATAGATAGGTGAATTATGAGTGTATGTGGACATGTTTCTGCGGGGAGGGGGGTAGGTGGGTGGTTAGGGGTTGCAGTGCTGCATAACTTTGGCTCCCATGTGACTAGAAAATCTTGTTGTTGTCGTTGTTTTTTTTTTTCTTAGAAATCATGTGCAGGGAACCCTGGATTACCCGAGTTAACCCTTTAAGTCCCAATGGTGACCAACATCAATATTCTCCTAACAATATCCATACATTGTTAAGAGATTAGGTTATAAGAATTAATAAAATGATCACCAAAGAGAAAATACCTTGATCTTTTATCAAATCCTCTTAACTCATTCTTTAGGGAAATGTATGGAGACAGATTAGAGAATTTGTATGTGGATATTGGGACTTGAAGGGTTAACAGCACTGAGCTCCCTTTAAGTTTTCTTAGAGCATAGCCATATATAGTCCGCCCTAACCGTAACAGGCATTATTTGTTACAGCATGTTATGACCCCCCTGCATATTGCATCTCCTAGGGTGCTAACCATTAATTTTTTTGCACATAGGATTTACGAGAAAATTTCCTTCATGGTTTTGATATCATTGATCTTAGAATTGAAAAGAATTCAGGTAAGTTTTATTGGTGCCAGAAGTAATGTGTTAGTTCACTATTCATGTATGGCTCTAGTTTTTACTTTATAACTGAGGATGTGCCCAACTTTGGAATATGGTAGAGTTAAAAAAAAACGTGCAGATGACCCTTCACGTGGAACTGGTGTAGTTCAAATGGAATTAGTTTGATTTTCATTGTCGCCTTGATCATTATGAATTTCCTTTTATGATCATGGGCAATTTTTTACATGATAAAGAAAAGTAAGAAGCAAACTTCGGATAGGTTGACACCATTTTAACCCATTCACTCCTGGAGATTTTGCCGAAAAATGCGTTTTGAAGCTAGTCAAGTGGTTTTCTCGTCACTGTCATGCTATAAAGAGCTAAAACTTACCACAAAACCGTTGACAGGTCGTGCACTTCACGGCCTTCCAATCCAGATGCAAAATATGAGCTTACGAAGTTCAGGCATACACAGAAAGCAAAATTTGGTTTTAAAAGTGACACAGCAGTCTTGACTTTTACTTTTCTCTTTCTCTCCTCCCCTTTTTTTTTGCTTTTCTTGTCTCATTTGTTTTTTCTCTTGCTGCAGGGCTCAAAGTTTAAATTTGAGTTTGGGACCACTTGTGCTACCAGATGTAAATTTTTAGGCGCACTGCCGAAATTTTAGGCGCACAGCTGAAAATTTTAGGAACACAGCTTATAATGTTGGGAGCATCTATTTCAAAAGAAAAAGTAAAGTTTATTTGTCATCTTCAGTTTGTCACTTTTACTTCAGTCCTATGATTGATAAAACACAGCCGATTTGCTACGCAGTAATACCGTTGTGATTTTTAATACTAATTTCTCTATTTGACAGTACAGTTGTGACTAAAGAAAACTTACACTTGAAAAACAATTCAGAACTGACAACAATGAGTGTGTCAAACGAGAATGAAAATTAATCTTTAATGAATTTGTTAAATGCGCAATGACTTACATGTAACTGAAATACGAAATAAAAAACTTTCTTACCTGAAAAAAAGGCTCTTAATTCGCACTGTTTTTGTTTTGATTGACGTTAAAACTGAACGTTCGACATGGTCGTCCATTGCGCAAAAAGTACGTGCTTCGTTCGTACCATATATTTGCATGTGTCAGCGGTGTTTATTACAAAACAGAAGAGTCTGGGATGGAGTAAAACATCGAAACGAAAAAGAACGTTTGAGTTTGTAGAATCCATTGAGAGAAAAGACCAATTAAACATACACCGTCTTTCTAGTTCGAGTTCGTAAGTGTAGTCGGAAGTAAGTCAGTCGCACTGTGCTTTGGGTTTTACGGCGCACAGGTGCGATTGTACATGAATTTTTAGGCGCACAACCAAAAATCCAGTCGCATATGCGACCAGTTAGTCGCTAACTTTGAGCCCTGTGCTGGGCGTTTAGTAGGCTTCATTTTGGTGGGAAAAGGTTTTAAGAAAGCTTTCAGGAACTTAGGATTAGGTGAAAGGAAAGGTAGGTGGGCAGTGAAGCAAGATTTTCATGGAAATTTTCAGGTCAATGTTACATGGCTTTTTGCCTTTTTCTCTGGTATCCTTGACTGAATTGTGCTCAATCTGGTATGCTTTGAAAGATCTCTTCACTCTGCACAAATTAGCGGACAAAGTTGTCCTTGACCATTAAAACTGATGACGTCACAGGCGGTAGAAAGGACGTGGATCCACACGAGCGGTTATGGGCGGCTCAGGGGCGAATGGGTGAACCTTTAAAATTTCCTTTTGAACTACAACAGGACCACTTACCAAAATTACAACATTTCCAAGTCACTGAGGCTGGAACCATTTAAAAGTGACTGCCAAGTTTAGGTATTTTTGGAAGTCACATGATATAATAATTTTGAGTATTTGAGAGCATCATGTCATATTCTTGCAGCATTTGTTCTTCTTGAAACATCTGATCAAGCTCTCAATGCCATAAACATTCTCAATGGACAAAGTTATCATGGATTCGTTGTTGGTGTGTGCCTTGCTCCCCCTAACAGCCTCCTCTTTGTCGGCAATCTACCATTTGAATTCACAGAGGAGCAGTTTCGGAACTTAATGAGTCCATTTGGGCCAATAGAGAGGTTGTTGCTAGTACGTAGCATGTTCACTGGAGAAAGTAAAGGTTATGGCTTTGTAGACTACATCAACCGAGAGTCAGCAATGCAAGCAAAACAACAGCTTATGAGTAAAGGATCAAAATATGTGGGAGGACGGATATTGAGAGTTGATTTTGCTGAAGCTAATCTCCTGACATACGAAGACTTGCATTCAAAAACATTGTTTGTGGACAGACTCCCTCGGGACTTTACCAATGCAGATATGTTGAGAGAATTGTTCAGTCAGAGTGGAACAGTTACATTTGCTCAGGTGTGTGTGAATCTATGTACACGATTCCTGTAGGGCCTAACATTTTAATTGACTTTGCCAGTGAATGCATCATGTGTCAGAGTAGAAATGCATTATCTTGTACAATTTCTGTACATAGATCTTTGATCTTCATCTGTTGAATTAATATGTTAGGTTGCTGTTAACAACCAAACGGGTGTGTCACGAGGATTTGCATTTGTTGATTATGTGACGGCAGAAGAAGCAGAGAGAGGACAGAAGTCTCATAATGGTGCTCTGCTAGAGGATTCAAATATCCGTGTGGCTTATGGTACTCCAGGTAGAACTGGCGCAAGCATACTAGGTGGTCATCATGGCGCAAGTATGGTATGAACAAACATCTGAATCATGCATAGATTTTACTATCATGCTTGTGTTTCTCTCGGCTCGTTCTTGAATGTGTCTCATTGATCGAATACAGTGCTGCTCATTTTAGTGTAACTGAACTGAACTGTATGTTATTAATTTTTATTGGGTGCATCTTCCAAAAAGGGGTAGAGTATAGCAGGATTGTTTTTTTATTCTACAGTAGGTTTTATTTTATTTCATTTTATTTTATTTCAACTGTTGGTACCTTTGGTAATTATTGGCAGATAACAGGACCAGTGTGAAGTCAATTACCATGTGCCTGAAGCAGTCCTTGCAACTGATTTTCCATGCTTCAGGAATTACATGTACTATATGGCAAATGATTCAAAACAACAGCAATGTTGAAATAATTCGAAATGAGTGGGCCAGAGAACATTACTGCATGGATACCTTCAAGTTTCTTTTATGTCTATTTAATTTTAGGGAAGCCAAGGTCCTCGCCCAAGAGGTCCTTTTTCAAATGTGCCTCAAGGCGCCGATGTGATGGGTCCTAGAGGACCACCCCCTCTTATGGCACCACGTCCCCTCATGGGAGCAGAGCTGTGGCAGCAAATGCCGAGAGGCCCTTTTGGAAAATCACCCAGACCACTTATCAGACCTGGGGCTGCGGTAAGGGTTAGTGTACAATGGGTAGTTGTTTATTAGCTTGATTTGCTTTTATTTGCCTTTAGCAACAGTTGTACCTACAATGCTTTTGTTTATAAATTTATGGATTTATATGTAAGATTATGGCAATATCAAATTCTAAAAAAATTATTTTATTTTTCTTTCGATGACATGCGAATAAAGCAGAAAGCTTCTACACACTTCTTGTAGTTATCGCCCACAGTTCTCAGCTCTTTTAGTAAAAAAGTAATGTTTGAAATGAAACTTATTATTTTGTTTGAGGCAAGAACTGTCAAAAGGAGACAATAATGTTATGGTCAAGACTTCCCAATGAAGTATTCTTTTCTCTCAGACCAGATGAGAATTAACCCGCAAAAGCACATAATTAGTTTGGTTGTAAATGTTTCAAAAGCAGGAAAATATACTTTTTACAGGTGAGAACTGTGGTGTAGTGCAAATTAACTTGGATAGGTCATGTGCAGACAGTGATTTTGTTTCTAAATAAACATGTACAGTGTATTTTTATTTGCAGGGTCCAAGGCCCATGATGGGTAGAGCAAGAGGGCCCTCCACAGGTGGACCAAGGCATGCTCTGCTTGGTCATGGACCCAGGCCCCTTCTGGGGAGGCCTGTGGGCCCCAGACCATTGATGAGACCTGCAGGTACAGTCGATCATGGAAACTTTGTGACAACAAGTGCATAGTCATTTTGTTGTATCAAAGTACATTATTCTCATACCCAGGGCTGTCATTAAGAGGTGGGGGCCAGGGATTTCCCCCAGCTACTATAAAATTTAATGTGACCCCTGGCTACTTTTATTGGAAAATAGAAGAAAAATAGAACCAAAAGTAACCCCTAGCTGTTTAATTCCCCAGCTACTTGTTGTTTTTACCCAGCAACTTGGAACTCTTGGTGACAACCCTGCATGCCATCTATTGCCATCTATCATAAAAATTTCTTTTGATACATGTACATGTACCCTTAGGAAGATTATGGTTTAAAATTTAGAATTTTTTCTTAGGCAATCATTTCCTTTATTTTCAAATTACATGGCAATATTATTATTTTTATGTAACAATCAAGGCCGCACTCTATGAAGACAAATTCTAAGGGAGCCAAGTTCCCTGAACTGGGAAATTCTAGGGTACCCAGGACATAGTTTTTATGAAAAAGAACTGTGATTCGCTGAGATCTTCCAGAAGTTAGGTGCAAAAGGGCCACCATGTCCTGATAATAATTATACTTTTTTGTTCAGGTCCTAGAGGCTTTGTTGGTATGAGTGTAGGAGGCCCCCCTGGCAGACCAATGGGACCAAGGGGTGCCATAACCCAGCCACCACGACCATTGATGGACTTTGGAGATCAGGCAGTGTTCTCCTCTCCTGACCAGATGCAGGTATGTATCATACCAACTACACGTATATAAAAAAATGAAGAAGTGATCGTCGCAGTGAACGCAGGTTATGCAATTGCGTGAAGAAGCCTGAAAAAAATTCAGGACTTCAACGGGGTTTGAACCCGTGACCTTGCGAGACCGGTGCAATGCTCTACCAACTGAGCTATGAAGCCACTGACGTTTCTTTCACGTATAAACTTGCAAAAAGGCTGGAGAAAATGCAACTTGTAGTTGGCCCTAAATGGTTTTCTCTTCGAGACTGCAGAAGATTCATGCCTCTCCTACCCTTTTTTATTAAATCCTCTACTGTATATTTTTCAAAACAACGCCTTTTTTCTCTTTAACTAGGCAGTTCCGGCTGTTGCCGAACCTCCTCAGCAGTATGTAGGTGACTCACTACCCACCTTGATGGGTGAACCAGTCAATTCCTTCCCTCTTGCATCCGATCCAGCAGCATTTGGTCAGACAGTTCAAACAGCCATTGCTCAGCCACAGGAGGCATTTGTGCAACCAGCTCCACAACAGGGAATGATGGTCCCTTCTCAACCTCAGCCTGGTACTAGACCAGCTGTCCCTCAAATGGTGGGTGTGGCAAAATTGTAGTTAATTCTTTCAGTCCAAGAGATAGAGAGATAGAGAGGGGGGGGCAGAGTAGTAACAAGGTAAAAAGTACAATTTATTGCTTTCCCAACACTTTTGACCAAGATTGTAGTTCATTTATCATTGAGAAATAACACCCCTTCAAATTAGAAGTAATTTCGCATGGTTATAAATACTATTTGTTTGGCAGGTAGTTGTAACTTTCAAGGCTGTGGACAAAGTTTTGAAGGATGACAAATTCTAAACAGAACTTTCACATGCTACCATATGTTTCGTTTACATTTCTAAATTTTGAGTCCATGGGGAACTATCCTAATGTGTGAGCATTGACAAAACCTCTTAAGCTATAATTTTAAATCATTGATGAAATAGAAATAATTTTTTTAAAAGGATGTTTGTCTTTCTCTTGAAAACCAGGTTCAAGTGCAGCCAATTCCTGGTACACAACCTGTCGCCACTGGTACCTTGCCCACAGCAACTCAGACTCAAATGGCTGTAGTTCCTCAAGCTCAGCCATCAGTCTTGATGCCTACTCAACAACAACACGTCCCAAATAATCAAGTACTGTATGCTGCACCTGGTGCAATACCAGTACAGGGTGTGGTCCCTCAAGTGGTAGCACAGAATCCAATTCAGTACCAGCCTGGCATGGTAGCAACAACTCCTGGTGTTCCTGTTGCTGGACAAGTGGATGTTAATACAGCTTCATCGTATGGTGTACCTGCAGTACAACCAGTGGTAAGTGTCACGTACAGATGGCCTTCCCTTGAATTCAGCACTGACATTATTATCCCTATGTCATTGATAGTTGCTCTGGTTTGATGCAGATCTATTGATGGTTTGGGTTCTGGTGTTACTCAATGTAGATTAAGTCATGTCTTTTGCCTATTACAAAATATTCTAATCAGAAGACAATTCTGGCAAACTGCCCACCTACCCTACATGGTACACTGATATAAATCTTTTCCTTGTAGGCACAGGGAGACCCATCTGCTAATGCAACAGTCAGCTCTGGGTATGTTGTGATCTCAGCAGATTCAACCCAACAAAGTGGATTCTACACTCCACAGGATTCCCAGTCTTACCCTGTGGTAATAATAATTATGCATTATCAGTTTTTGGCATTTTATACTGTCAAAATAGTAGCTTAAATATATGATGAAAACATGGTCCTATATGTAATAAGCAAAAATTACAAACAAATTACATTTTTGTGGTAATTCTCAGGAAAGGACTGTAAATACTATTACATATTTGTTATGTTCTTTTATTTCATACTAATTTGCAGTAATGGAAACGTTTTGTTTATGAGGGTATTAACTAAGCACAATCATTAATAATTTTTATAATTGAAATTCGGGATGGCCTCCAAATATGACATGCCTGATTCTCAGTTTTGTTGTAGATGTTGATAATAACTTTCTTTTGTGGTGGAATTTCTAAGTTGTTAATAATGTATATGTCTATGTTGTTGTTTTCAGCCCCAATTTACTTTGGCAGGACAGACTGCTGTTCAACAGCCATTAGTCCAGATACCTGCCAGTGTCCCTTCAGGAACTGCACTGCAGGCTCAAGCACCATCCTCACAGCCTTCTGCTGTTCCCATGGTAACACCACAAACTCAACAATACCAGTGGTACCAACAAGTCACCCCTGTTGTCAGTAATCCAGCAGTCTCAACTCCGCAGCTGCTTCAAAACACCTCTTTTCAAGGTAGGCAACAGCTTACCGAAAGTATGCATGTACTTTTGCTGTACTGTTATAGGCTGAGTTTTAACTTTGGAAAAATGGGAGTTCTCGAGACCTCAGAAGTGCTTCTTTATGGCTCTTGCCTCAAACCAGCATATTACTAACACTCCTACCCTATTATATAATTTTTTTAAATTGGGCATAGATTATAGTGATTCAAATGGTTTGGAGAATGATTAGCAATCTCATGGCTTATCGTCTTACAAGAGAAAGCTATGAGAAGCTCTAGCTTTGTGAGCCATCGATGGCTTGTGAAAAGAGAAAGTTATTTAAGCTCTTGCTTTGTCAGTCATCAGCTATCTTTGGCTTGTCTAGCCTGCGAGCAAGCTCTCCTGGGCACTCTGTTGGCCAGGCGGGAAAAGGAAGGAGAGCTTGCAACTACGTCTCTGGAATTTGAATATCTGCATTGAAAAAGTTTATGCAAAATGCTGATTGGCGGAGATGACATTAGTAATGACATCAGTACCTTTGACACGTTATGTTTGTTTACATTCTTGCTTGTTCCCACTTCGTGCTGATTGGCGGAAATCTAACGGCTCAGTCGATGGCGAGCCACAGGGAAATTGGAGGTGGAATTCAAATTCCAGAGACAGTTGCAAGCTCTTCTTCCTTTTCCTGCCCCACCATCAGAGCACCCTGGAGACCTTGCTCACAGGCTATGGCTTGTCAATGAATGATCACATTATTTTTGGTTGTCATCAGCAGACTCAAAAGCTCTAACTACATCGCACTAAGGTCCAAAGAAATTATTAACCATACTTACTAATACTAAAAATATAACATTATTTGTTATCTCTTTAGGAGGAACCCAGTGGCCTCAAGGGGAGCTAGTGGCCACACCACAACCTTTAATGACTGTCCAACCAGGCACTGTTTATGGACAGTACCCACAACAGACTCCACAATATCAGACACAGCAACCACAGCAGACAGCAGCAGTGCCAGCAGCTGAGACAGTGGTTTATTATCAACAGCCGCAGGTATAGATCTGGATGTTATTGCATTTCTTGGAAATGCAAGATTTTTTATGATTTCATGTGGATTTTCCTGTGCATTACTATAGTCACTGATTTTGAGCTAAGCCAATTTTTTTCATCAAGGATTAATAAAAACGTAAAAAAAAAGGACGAGGCCAAAATTGAGCCATCTTGCTTAAACAAGCATGGTCAATTAAGTAGGAAATCTGCAGTGGCCAATCAGAACGTAGGACTCACTTCACTTCATAAATGTGTATTCTATTTATGGTGTGGAACACATAACGGAGCAGGGCTCCAATTTAAGTGTGTTCTGACAGATAACCCACCCAGCCCAGGAGAGGCTGGCCACATTACCAAGGTCTACGCCCCCTACCCTTTTCAAACAGTGGCGTGGGTTCTTTTACGTCCCACAAGAACCAGATAAGTGAAAGTGCAGTGAGATGGGACCTACGGTTTTTCGTGCTTATCCGAGAAGACTAGAAAGTCTAAGTGTTTGCAGCTGTCATTGCAAAGACAGCTTTTTTCTCAGTTATTTTTCAGACCCTGAGTGTTGGTCTGGCCAGGGTTTAAACCCACGACCTCCCACTCAGCAGTCCGACGCTCTGCCAACTGAGCTAACCAGCTAACTGATTGTAAACATCTATTCCATATTCAACAGATGCAACCACAACAACAGCAGCAACAGCAGCCAGGTGTGATACCCAATCTGATGGATACTGCACCAGAAGCTCCACAGCCAGGGTACCCTTCTGTTACCCTAGCAACAGGAGTCGCTACTAATACGTTCCCTATTTTCCCTAATGCCAGTGTAGCGCCTCAACATTCTGCCCCTCCAGTGGTGTACAATAGTGCACAAGCATCACAGCTGGTGAGTAAAATAAGGCAAAATTGTCCATTACTCAGATTGGCAACTGTGTTGGATTTTTTCAGTATTATACCAAACATTTAAGGAGTGCAGCGAAGCAGAAGACCAGGGGCCCTTTTCTCGAAAGTCCTGGTAGTAACGTTTTATGCCAGTAGACGCAAAACCCTTTCAATTTTTAATGGTAGCAAAAGAAAAAAAATGTGTTGATTTCGTCTTGTAAAATCTTACGAAATAAATAGTAACGTGCAAACATTCTGCAAAAATGGTTTTATTTCCATAGGATTTCGTCCACAGATATGAAAGTAAGGCCTTTCCACAACCTAGAAATGATATCCTCTCTGGCCATAACGTGGTCCAGGAGTAAAAAGGTTGAAGGAAAGCTAACTCTAAAATGTGATTTGCTAACTTAGAATTTCATGACGTGAATTCCAGTGTCAATTATTACTTTTTAAATCTTAATGCATACGTCACACTTACTAAATACGGAGCAAGAAAAGTTTGGGAGGTTTGGGGAAACGGGCTCCTGATGAGAAGCAGCTTAGAGACAGAAGAAATTTCAATAATCTTTTCCTTCATTTTAAAGCTGATAATGCAAAAATAATGAACATCTGATGCTTTACAAAGGTTGCCGGACCAGGTGGGCCTCCACAGCTGAGTCAGAAGAGAGCTGCTGATGGAGATCCTGGACAGCAAGGACCAGCTAGCTTCTATGATGCCAACAAACGACTGCGATTCTAGGAGTGGTGACACTGAATAATAATTCTTCATATAAGCCATTTCCATAATGTATTTTCTTGTCATGTCATGTCATGTATTGAGCCATAGGTCATGATAATAGCAATATTTTAAAGTCACACGTAATACTGATAAGCCCTTACAAGTTAATACGTCAAGTACTTGGATGCCACGTAACCAGAAACCAAGGGTCCTAGCCACATGTTTTCTTACTGAACTATTGCTTGGTCATCTCTCCATTACCCTTGAATCTCATATTCTAGTACAAATATACTGTAAATTCCGAAAATAAGCCCCTCCAAATATAAGCCCCCCAAACCGGTAATGCAAAAAAACCCTCCGTTAAATCGCCCCTCCAAATATAAGCCCCCCGGGGGCTTGTACTTGGAAAATTGCCCTCAAATACAAAGTAAAACAAAGCAAAAACGGTAAATTTACTTCCAACAATAAGGCTAGCCCAATCGATTTTGAAACGCAAGTTTCCCTCCGTAGATAAGCCCCTCCAAAAATAAACCCCTCAAAAAGGGCCTTTGAAAAATATAACCCCGGGGGCTTATTTTCGGAATTTTACGGTACTCCCTTTTCTATTTCTCACGGAATTAATACGTTTTTGTAAGCATTAGTGGATAAAAACCAAGAGACTCATCAACTTTTAGGATGTTCACTTCGGCTAAAGTATCTTTATTTGTTATAACCACATCATAACAAGTTTAATACGACACTAACCACTACTGAATCTTCAAAGTTACGAGGTCATTAACCTCTCAAGCTCATGGATACTTAATGAAGAGAAAACAAACGAAATCAAACGGTGTGCGAAATTTTGCTTAAATTTATTTTAATAGTTATTGATCACTTGACAAGTTGTGTTAAACACAAGACTCAATGTTTCATCCAGTAATCATATGTTCCCACGTCTGTTTTTAAAAATTGTTCTGCGACTGCGGCTGTACTACATCAAACACGAGAGAGAAAGTTTCGTTTGTTTTCTCCTCGTGAATTACTGATGGTTTAAAGAAAACCAGTCGATGAATACTACATATACTGTAAGAAAGCTGGCTGAACTAGTCAGTTGTATCAGACAGATAAACACTTGTTTTCCAAGTCTTATTAGAGCGGTTTTCTAGTGTTGGAAGTCGTTTTACGTGTTGTTTGTTTTTGCTCAATTACACTTGTCCAGTCGCCTTAACCTTTTTTGCCACTCTTTCTAAGGTTTAGAGCCGGCTTCTTGAACTTGATCCAGCTTCTATCGGTACACTTAATTATATGCAAGCACTGGGTTATTAAGGGAGATTACTCTGGATGTACAGCACTTTTACATTTTAAAACCGCTCTAATACCTAGCATTTAATGCTAAAATGATATTGCCCATACTTAAATGATTCATTTGCTCCTAGGCTCAGTACCGTTTTATTCGTGTTTTAAATTTTATTTTTCATTGTACCAAACTGATTATCATTCATTACCATACTAAGCAGCAAAGAAAAATAGATTTTTTGCTAAGGACATGGATGAACCACAACGGTAAGCACTTAACAACGAAAAATGTGCTTGAAATAAGAGGAATATCATTATTTGTGTACTGAGAAAAAGCTTCATGGAGTTGTTACCGTCAATGCCCCCCACCGATTATGAGGTTATGTTAACATGTTACAACTTAATGTAGAACCATTACCATTAGCCTGCGAAAACATCCGTTTCTTCTCGCTCTTCGCCACTGGGGACGTTTCGCGTGGAGAAACGTCTGACAGAAATTGCATAGTGATGACGCAAAATCTGTCCGAAATCCGGTCAGAAGCGCTGATTGGTCGACGGAGTAGTTACATTGTTTTAGCTATTGTTTAAGAATGACAGATATAATACAAAAGGCTACAAAGGTCAAATGTAAACGCGAAGAATCTCTGACAAAACAGTCAATATTTGTAGAATACAGTGTTCTCTAGAAGAAGCATTTGAGTTTTGCTGGAGCTCGTCGGCACATGAACACAACACTTTACCAAAATCGACCAGAAGACACGTAGAATTCAGCAAATTGGACAAAATTATATTTGGAACCTTATGACTACCGGATTTATTATGTAAACATTGATTTGCGTCATCAGTATGGAATTTCTGCCGCCGAGTCGCAGACGTTCCTCCTCGCGAAACGTCCCCAGCGGCGAAGAGCGAGGAGAAACGGATGTTTTCGCAGGCTACATTACCATGATAATTCATGTAACAATTAAGAGCTCTTTTCAATCAGCTATCGATGTCGTAGTTTTTATCTCTTGAGATTCAATTACTGTCCCATGTGATTGGCTGAAAAATCTCGCGCCACTTCCTCAACCAATCAGAAGTAAGGCAAAACCAACCGTGAGTTTGTCCCGCATGCGCCTTCCCGCGCTTGATACCGGCTATGTATTTTCCCACCCATGGCACTGGCTGAATGCACTTTCCTTAGTTTTGATTGGTCATTGGATTGGCGTTTGTTGTGAATGGTTCTAGTTTTACAACACGTGATTGAAAGCCACGTAGTTATATACCCACTATATGTTTTACAAAGAACACGACCTCTAGTAGCAGGATGGATAGTGTTATTTGTGTACCATCTTTTTCGTTGTAAGGTAATGTGACCATTATATAACGGTTAACATTTTACTTGTTTAACTAAAAAGGGAAATTTCCATGAGATCATAGTCATAGACCATGCAAGTGTGTAGCAGTAATCATGTAATACCCATGCCAAATAAACAAATCAACCTTCGTCCAGATGCCAATTCTCTGACAACAAGAGAAATTAACATATTTACGCCCAAGTACATCGGAATACACGAAAAACAAGACCAGAGACATGTAATTTTTAGTAATCAACTCTTTCAAACACGGGCACTACTTGAACCAGCCTTAAGTGTCCGTGTTAGGGAAATGTCGGCTTCTTGGAGTCAAAGACAGGAACTGAATAACGGCGGAGTCTAAGGCTATGTTTTCGCTAAAGTGAGGTTGGCCCTCCAGTGGTTAGCTAACTGTATACCTTGTCCAGCCAAAAGAGGTGTCACTGATTCATTGATTGTTCCTTACTAAAAAATCGTGGGATAATGATGAGGGTTAACAAGTGCTGGACATTACGAAACGGTAAAAGTCACGATTTTGGGGGGTTTTGACGATACATAAAAAAAACTTATCGTAGAGTTCATGACATGCTTTTATTTCATTAATGTCTTTTTAGAAGGTTTATACAAAACCTTGAAAGAGAACATCCCACCAATATTTCTCTCTCCTGAAATTACGCCTCAGAAAAGCCTTTCAACAATACAAGCTCAGCGTTTAGGAAATTCTTAGTATTTCTATATTGCCTGTTTCTTACAAGTCCCCCACATCTGCCTATGAGCTCATTTTGTGGGTTGCTCATGTTAGTTTATTGAGCACGTCATTTCCACTACATTAAGTAATTTTTATGGAGATAAACTAAAAATAAGTATGTGTGATCAAATGGTGACGAGTGAAATTAGGGAATAATTTCACGCGCGTTTTGTCCAAATCCTTATAAAATTATTAGGATTTGGACAAAACGCAAGTGAAATTATTCCCTAATTTCACGAGTATACCATTTGATTACCTATTAATATCATGGGTGACGAATTACGTTAGCAATCTTGGATTTTTGACATGTTTATCCTGGATCGTATCAATCGAGAACTCCTGCATTCTCTCGAACCTTTAGAGCTTAAATTTGGCTTGAGTTCAGAGTTTTTCGACAAAATACCTGTTAGAATCCTTCTTGATGTGCTCTTTCGTGTATTCAGGTTTTCTAAAGCGTCTTTTTGTGCCCTGACATCTTCATTCATGACATTTTAAAACTTCGTCGCCATCTTGACACCGAGACGTACGGAAGGTTGCCATGGCAATTTTGTAATTTCACATGTGAAATTACAAATTAACGCTGAAATTTCGCGCCAAAATTAAGGAGTAATTCGTCACCTATGATATTACATCAGTAATAAATCACAATATAGCATTAGCACGTAATGCAAGTGGCAGTTAAAAGGTAGGTGATGGAGACCTTCATGAACCGACAACTTGAAAGTTTACATGGGAGAATGCACCATAGGTTCCCACAAATGAGTATTCTCCTCGCGATCATGTTCTTGGATAAACTTGCTGTAGTGCTGATGGTGACAAGTAGTTAGGGTCCAATCTGGCATGAACGACTAAATCGGGTTGAAAAAGTTTAACAATATCTATTACAAAAAGACTGAAGGCCAGTTTCTATTACCCAGCTTTTATCCTGCAACGTCTACCATCTCCCAACGCAAAAAGCTTTCCTTGCAAATTTCTAACCTTATGTGGCTCTGCCTATTGATATCCAACCCTTGTCGCCTTCGGTCATTGACACCGCCTTCCTTGATGTGAAAACCGTCGAACCTTGTATGTCCACATCGTGTTTGATCGAAGAACCACGATACATGTTCTGCTTAGTTCCCCGCCACCCAACCCCCCCCCCCCCCCCCCCGACATCATCATTTTTTCCTGAGGTCTTTCTACCCCCCTCCAATCACCTATACAAATATTAACCGATTTTCTAAGAATTTTTGCAAATTTTCAAGCGTGCGTAACAAGGGCACATGCACAGAGGCCCCAACATTACAATAGAATTTGGAAAAATAAAGGAAATAATAATAATATAAGTTTGTCGCTGAGGTACGATTTGTAGCGGCCCTTATAACGAGCTGTCAGCGGGTGCAAGGTCTGGAACCGAGAATTTTACAGGAGTTCATTAGACGGTTGGAATACTTGTAACAAACCCCTCGAAATTCTCTATTTTCATCGGCCTATGTAACACCTCTCCCACTGTTTTTAGAGCTAGGGACATTGGGGCATTCGTCTTTTGTTTCGTTAGCTTATTAATTAAACAATCCCTTCTGAGAGCTTCGTAGTTGTAGCCTGTGTGGCAGGTGCCAATTGGATTTTTTTTAGATTTTAATTATCGTGCGTCCTCGAAATTTTTCCCTAAAAAAACCCTGCCTGCTACGCAGGCAACCTCGTCCCCAGGGCTTTTCCCTCAAAAAATTTTTTGAGGGAAAAGCCCTGGGGACGAGGTTGCTACGCAGGCTACGAAGTTGGAGAGGCAGTAAAACCTTCGAAGGGCTTGTTCTGAAGTCAGATCATGTTATTATTGTTATCGATTTTTGAAAGGTTTGTTTTCTCTGAGCCTAACTTGAACGTAAGTAATCTGTAACATAAATGTATGCATGGCTGGGGGCGAAAGCTACCCAAGACTACTTGTTCCGCGTAAGAGTGGGTAAGATGTAGGTTGCTTTGTTCCTTTGGTTCATTGCTTATCAGAGATTACTTCCAGCATTGGTTAGATCACTGAGTCCTTCTTTTCGTCTTCACAGTTAAGCTTAAAAATTCATTTCTTTTTCATTTATTTCAGAGACAAATATTGGATGCTGGCGTGAAGGATGGGTATTTTTTTTTCTTTTTTTTTTCTTTTTTGCAGTTTCTTCAATAAAACTCTAACATGAACAAGGAATATTAAGTGTCATTTTCTGTGTACCTATCGTTGGCTTTTGATCGTACTCTCGAAGTATGAGAGATGCTAACTCAGTAGTCCTTCTTTAGCCCGTACTTTGTAGACCTTTTTCAGTCGGGTCGGGTCCAGTGTAAATTGTGACGACGCTGAGTTAAGAGCCCGAATTTGAATTTATAAAAGAAATGCTTGGATACTCACCTGGGTGCAACGAAGACAACCGTGCTCCAAGTGCTTGAAAAAAAGGCCTGATATACGCAAGCATGCGCACTGGCAGGGTGGGCGCGTGATCGAACCAGAAAGACGGACGAATCTACAGACCTGGCGAAAGAGTTTAGCTATGCCAACCATTACCACTGTGGAAACTATTTTGTTGGCTTTGAGGCGATTGCGTACACAATTTCTGTTTGTCAATTTCCCTTTTTTCTTCAATTCTCCGGTCAGTAGTTTCTTATAGAGCAAATAATCTTAAACCCACATCAGATTTTATTGGCCAAGATGACGAAGTTGCGGGGAAGCGTCATTGGGTTTCAGTAATTATGCTAAACTGAAAAACAGCTTCACTGTTTGCCTTGCGACAGATGGTAACGCGCGCATTTTACGCGAAGCGCCGGTTTCTACACTCCATCTTGCAAGTCAGTACCCTCTCAAGATAGCAGGTAACTAGGGAAGTTCGTTCTATAGCCTGCATGAAATATCCAATTTCGAAATGCGGGATGTACTCTTGTAATCTTGTAAAGTAGTTCTATCTTTTGAGTGGTATGTGGACGACATCCTGTAGTGTGACCATTCAATTGAAAGCTACTGAGTAGCACTTTCCTGTGGTACTGTTTATTAGCTTATTATACTGTACAGGGTGGTTTAAACTTTAAGTCCATGGATGAAATCCTAAAGTGTGACAATTCAAATGAAATCTACTGAGCAGTACTTTTCGGTAGTACTGTTTTTTCGTGATTTACAAGCAGGTAGTTTCTAACTGGTAGTTCTAACTTATGAGTAAGTAGTCGAAATCATATGGTGTGACCATTCAAATGAAACTGAGCTACTGAGCAGTACTTTCCTGTGTCACTGTTTATTATACCGGTAGAAGGAGGTTTTTAAAGCTTTGTGAACCGAGTCCTTTAGTGTCAGTGGCCATATATAAACCATTTTTTAACTGAATATAATAAAGGTCCACCAAGACACTGCTGGACATACGTGCAATCGAAAGTTTTTTTTTTTTCTTTTTTTTTTTTTTGGCAAAAATCTAGAGGGCCTGTAAACTTATTGCGGTGAAACTTTATCATAAATGTACTAGCTTATCTTCGGTTATGTTGATCTTGCTAGTATTTTGTGGACATCAGAATGCGGTAAAAAATATACGAAAAATTTTCTTCCGTGTTTTCTCGTGATTCGCTGTGAATGTGAAGGTGTGTTCTGATTGGCCGGTGTGGTTAAGAGGGTTTGTGTCAACAATCTATTTGAAAAAGCTAAAGAGATTTCATGGATATTGGACTTTTAGTTTGTTCTTTCAATTTATTTGGTTCCTGTGAGTCGTGACCACTTTTCGGTTGATAAAACACGCCCTTAAAAATCACTTCCAAGGTCAATGAAAGCTTAGGCAAGAATTAATGTTCTAACACGCCTTTTCAGTCGGGGAAAGAAATGATATAAAGCCTCTTTAGAAATACTTTAAGTAAGGAAATGATTTGTCGGTATTTAACGGTGTAGCATTTGGCATGATTCCTGAAATAACGATCTTTGACTTTTGGGTCCGTAAAGGGAGTTAAGGTACTAAATAATCTATTTACACAGGCGTAATAAATGACGTGGTTTAATCACGACATGTACAAATCATTCTGACTAGCTTTTAGGGAAAAAAACGAGAAACAAAATAAGGGAACTTGTGGAAAGACATTTTTAAAATCTGGGCCTAATGAAAGCAAATTAACAGTTAATTTTGGAAAAAAGCAAATAGGCCAGCTATTAATACGCCCAGTTCAGTTAAGGTTCACCAATCAAATGTGGCTTCATGCACGTACTTTGCTCTCTTTTTTTAATTGTCATTTCAGCTGATACCTTGGGGCTAATTTTAAGGGTTAATTGTCGCTTGAAAACAACGCTCTTTTGTGATGTGCAAATGATGTGCCCCTTATTCACGGCTGAGGACAAAGACAAAGTAATCTCAGACTTTTGAAAGAGTTGTTTGCAAGTACATTTGCTAGACGGTCATTAAAAAGTGATTATATTATCGAGAGTATGACGTCTCCAGGGAATTTAGAGTAATGAAGAGTCAGTTCAAAGCGATATCATTACACACTGATTGTTGACATTAAACAAACAACACGTTTTGGATTCCTTTTATGCTGATATTTCAGGAGACGTGCATTTTGAAACGGATTTACGGCAAAGATTTCACCAGGGGGACGAGGACAAAGTCATCAACAGCTGCGATCAGCTTTACATTATTTTGACAGAAGAACAGAAGAAAAGGATAGTCAACAGAAGGTCAGTGAAGGTATTACTGCACGATACTGCAAGATACAACTGTGCAAGACTTTTGTCAGTTGTAGTGTTACGACAGGATTACAGAACAGGTTTTTACAGTTTCAGATCATGTTTTAAGAAAACTCATGTCTCTGCCCTGCCTTCACCAAGCTGTTTCTACGGGCAGACTGCATCAGATTCGTTTGTTGCTAGACATTGGTGTTAAGCCAACATTAGTGGACAATCAGGGTCGTACGCCGCTCATGACAGCAGCTTGTATGACAAAAGAGACGATTGCGCTACGGATATCGCGCTTGCTGTTGAGTCGCGGTGCGCCTACGGAGTGCGTGGATAACCAGGATAGAACGGCGTTATCTTACGCCTGTGAAAATGGACACTGTAAACTGGTTAAGCTGCTCATAGACGATGATTACGACATCAACATGCCGGACAAAGAGGGCAATACGCCTCTCATGTACGCGGCCATATCGGGTAATGTGGCCACTCTGCGTGAGATATTATGCGTGGTACTCAAATACAGACTTAGCGTGGATTTGAGAAATAAGAAAGGCTTCTCTGCTTATCTGTTAGCTGCGAAAATGGCACACAGCGAATGTGCTAGGATTTTAAAGACAGAAGGAAATGCCTCCGATTGCGTCCGGGACACGGAGTATTTCTTGAGTGACAAGGAATGGGCAAAAAGAATGAAAAGAAATCTTAACAGAGACAAAAACAGCAAAACGGTTCAAAAGATAGACAGCCGGACTCGTCCAAACACGTCATTTGAACTGCGTCGCACTAATAAACTTGCTGAAGGTTCTCGCAACCCTAGGGCAATATCCCGACTTACCACCCGCAGTGAGACAGCGGTGATGGTACGGAGGAGCGGATTGGTAAACACTTGGATACCCTGTTCAGAGGAACATTCGCAAAATGAACAAACATTACGCGGCACTAGCCCTTCCTCGGTATCTTCCAGCAGCCGACAAAGCACTGTTCCACGGGTGGTTCGAACCTTAACACCCGACTTACACGCGATATTTAGTCAGTATGTTCTCATTGACAACAGGCCAGCGGTTACTGTGGCAGACCGCAGGATGCCCTATGCTACCAAACACGAAGAGTCGCGAGTGCCGTCTAAACCCGCGTCAAGAAATTCTCGAATGAGTGTTTCGACAAAGAAAAAAGTATCTATCCTCAGATAACGAGAACAATTCTTCCAGATAAATGTCTGCGATCCTTTAGGTCAGCGCCAAGGATTGAGACGTCCAGATCCATTGCGCTGAGCGAAAAGATACTCCGTCTTAGGACGAGAATGGTGACAGAAAATCATCACTTCGTTTTCCAGTTATCTATAGAACGCTTCAACCTACATTTTGACTATTCTCGGTCCCTCCGTTTTGTCACCTGATCGTTCTCTTCAAATGAAGCTGAGGAGTTCTGTGATCCTTCGCTCAATCTCGTCACCAGGTGTTACGACTCTTCTAGTCATGCACAGTAGAGAAAGTCTGGAATTGAGAATATTTGACTGGGTACAGTGTCTGTGAACAAAGTGTACAGTGCATGGCTTATGTTATTGAAAGTGTGTGCGTGTGTAAATACTGATTTGAACAACAAAGTGAGGTCTTGGCGTGATGTGGAATATTTTTAACAGACTTTTCTTGAAATAAATTGCCAAAAAAAGAATATGCAAGTGAATAATTGATTCTTCATAATTGCATTTTTTCAGATCACTTTGATACAGCAGCATAGGCGAAGTAAGAGAATCCAAGACAGCCGTACTCTTGGATTTTGGAATTTGCCTTGGATTCCGGATTATAGTTACAGGATTATTCAGAATTCTTTGTCGGTGAAACTTGGATTCCGGATTTCAAACTTTAGTGTATTCCGGAATCCTCGAGCTGCATTCCAGATTCCAAAACTTAGGATTTTGGATTCCACAAGCAAAAATTTTCCCGGATTCCGCAAACCGGATTCCCTTTAGAGGCAAATATTTTGTGTAGGCTCTGTCTGCCTCTATGTGAGAAATTACAATGAACCCTGTTTTGTCCTTAAATAGGACAATGTTTATTGTGCACCAGAGTTATACAATATTTTTCTAGATTAAGTCAAAAACTGAAACGCACTTGTGACGTGAACTAAGCCCTTAATTCAGTTATCACAACATAAATCTATTTAACGATAGTCAAAAAGGCCCCTCAAATAGAAAGAGCTGCCGTTTGTTGTGGTGCTACTTTTTGATTTGGCCTAATTGCTGCAAGGCTTCACCATGGCATCAATCAATGATTTCATCTTCTCCAGTGGGTTAGCCAAACGACCCTCTGCCACATCCTTCAGCAGTTGCAATCCAACTTTTCGCCCTTGTGGAGAACACATTGCGTTGCGCCAGACGTTTAGCAGCCATCCCTTTGATACACTGTTTGCGGTGCGAAACACGTTTATTGCCAAAATTACACGATTTTGAGCACGGGTGATGTCCCAAATGAAGGGAGCTATGTCCCATGTTCTCAAGATTCTCTGTGGCAGCGATGCCTGCTGTTCTGCAGTTTCGTTGAGATTGGTTTGAAAGTGTGTAGCAGCAATGAACTCCACCAGTAGTGCCCAGCCCTCTCCGAAGTTTTGCTCAGGTTTTGACAGCAGGCCGACCTCTTCTTTGAAAAGGGGAAGCGCTGTAGAATATATTCAAATTCTTAAGTTATAGGCGTGGCCAGTAACTTATCACCAAGGAAAATCAGCTATCAGCAAGTATCACAGCCTTTTTTAGACTCAGTTACCGAGAATTTCGTTATTTTCACAATCGTTCGCATAATATCCAAACATATATGGCAGTTGATACTCAGCGCGGGAGGATCGCCTTAGCTTAATTAAGTTCTCACTTATAGATAGTCTTTTTCAAAAAAGTTAAACATAAGCAGCTTGTGCGGTAGGCGTTTGAGAGAGGAAAAAGAGGTTGAGACGCAATCCATCAGGAAATTGAGTAATATTAATTTTCAATGGACAGAAACCTTGTACCAGAATAATTTAAAGCATATTGCATTCTTTTTCACATTTTTCAAGGACTAAAGATGTAATTTCGTGATCTGTAATAACACCAAAGTAAGTTTCTCATGGGAGGCTCAGAAAATAAATGTCAAATTTCACAAAATGACATTTTAAACATGAAATTTTTAGAATTTTACCCGTGTTTTCAAAATTCTTGTGAAATTTGACATTTATTTTTCTCCGACTCCCGTGCGAAATTTTCTTTGGTGATATTACAGATGACAAATTACATCTTTAGCCCTTGAAAAATGTAAAAAAAGAGTGCAATATTCTTTAAATTATTCTGGTACAAGGTTTTTGTCCACTGAAAATTAAAATTACTCAATTTCCTGGTAGATTCCGTCTTAATCTTGACTAAAGGGCCAAGGGTGGGAAAGGAAGGAAGTTTCCTTTTGTCGTCCTTCCTCACGCGACCATCACGTTCTTTCTCGGCAATCGCGTTGTCGCATGCATTTAATTCCCCCCTCTCGTTCACTGTCGCCTCTCAGGCCATATATTAAACCAGTCTTTGGGCTCAACATTTTTATCGATTTCACCCGCCTTTGTTGAAAATTGTACTTTGCTCTGGCTGATTGACTGAGAGGTGTTTTGACGGAAAGGATAAAACTATAAACCTGTGACCGTGCTTCATGAAGATCAACGCACTAACCAGGATGATAGGGTAATGCTGCAGTCAAAGGATAAAATCACTATAAATTCCTTTTTTATCAAACTAGTTTGTATGGACTCGTAGAATCTTTGTAGTCTTATCATGGATAATAGGAAGATGCCCTCTCTCTATTTTTATAACCTTGGCCCTGCGAGTTAGCCAAAATTAAGCGTTAATGGAAATCGATTGGGCATGCGCGGTGGAAGCGTGTGACTCACCGTGGTTGATAGACGTAGTGTGCGCCTTCCACATCAGTGCTACTGTGGCATCGTGATCGGACGCAGAAGAAGCAGCCTTAATTCGCCGGAAAAACTCTGTCCAGTCCTGTATCACCTCATCATGTTTTGCTTTGCACTCTTCAACACTGGTACAGAACTTCTGCTTAACTTTGTCGCTCACGTTTGGTGGTTTATTGATGTGCAAAGGATACTTTAGCGGTGTGAATATCCCAGCATTCAAGGCTCCCAGGAAGGGAAGTACAGAGAGGTAGTAATTCATATCGGCCCACCAGCTGTTGGGAGATACGCAATAGTCTCCACACCCAGCATTACCATGGTTACTCCTCATGTCACGAAGACGACCGGTTGTCTTTTGCCATCCGAACTGAAGCGGTAGTCCCCAGAGGAGATTCCCGGTGTTATTATACCCCCAGAAATCGAAGAATGGCTCCGTTTGTTTGATCATTAGCTTATAAACTCCCATTCTTTGAAGATAATTCCAAGGATCGATGACTGTCTTCTTTTGGCCGCTTATCTGTCCAACCGCGGGAAATTCAGCCCACGACCCTGGGGCATCCTGCCATCCCGGTGGATAATGTTTGGCCACGGATGATACAGGAATCGATAAGTGGCTTATTACCGCGTAGATAAGCAGTAATAAAAGCGAGAGAAGCATGATTTCTTTTCTGTAGTGTTACTCTTGTTTTTTGCAGTCTTGATCAACTGTTGTAGCTGCGAAGTGAACGTAAATTAAATCGTTAACTGAGCGCAAAAAATGTTAGGCCGTGCCTTACAGCTGGACAAACATCTAGAACTTGGGTAATTTGAGAGAGATCGATCGCTTCTATAGAAACAAGTAAGAACCAGCTTATATTAATTTAAGAAATAATATTTTGTCTCTTACAAGGAGCAACGAAAAAAAAAACTACAGTCCTCAGGGTGGAAATAGCTTGTTGCAGACCGCGTTCGGACTTTAGGGGCCCAATGAGGCAGAGGACAGAGGGGACAAACAGGGCTACTAAAAATTAGTCTTCTTTGTGCAGCTTATTGCACAAAAGTGTAATTATGAAATACAAATATAATTTGTAAATTCATAATCAGTTTGGCTTCTCCTTATCAGACTAAAATAAAATATTAGTTTCAGCTGTAAAACGATTTTTTGAATAGATTAGCAGATCGCAGAACTTTGAGAAAATGCTATTATCATTATTGTTACGAAATAAACTGCTTTACTTTTACGAATACGGGTTGAATATTATTTATGTCAGATATATATATATATATATATTGATGCAAGCAAGTGGCACAGTGTTTGGGGTCAGTGGTACAGCACCGGGTGTGTGAGTTAAACATGGAAAGAATTTCCGCCAAATTTTTTTCGAAATTACTTGTCAATTCTTTCGTGCGCCGTTTTTTATTAAAAACTGCGATTAATATCGAAAAGTGTCTCTTGCGAATGTTTACATTTCGAGGCTCTGACATTTTACTATTTATATTTGGATTTTTTTCGGAATTGCCTATCACCATGCATTTGCTCCCAAGCCCAACACAAATTAGCGTTAAATTTGTTATTAATCTTTTCCTCCTATTGTGCCCCTCCGCAATGAATCTATACTGTTCTACTCTGTTCTGTTCTGCAAGGTGGTCAGTTCTCTTTAACAATAATTTACAAGCTTAGTTTGCCGGTGGTGCTTTGTGTTTATGTAACGCGATATTGGGTATCAATGATAAGGTGGTGAATCAAGTGAGATTTCCACTGGTCAGAGTTTTTTTTCCGATGCCACATTCAGGCTCTTAAACCGTGGTTCCTCTTTTCCAGTCTAAGACTAGCATTTCATTAAAGAAAGGGGCAAAGATGAGAAACGCCGCAGTCCCTGGTATGGGTTTGAGGAAGAAGTCAAAGACAAAGATTCCTAAAAAGCTAGTCAAAACGCTTTTAAGTTAACGGTTCCTGTACAAGTAGCCTTCCAGAGTTGACGTTTTTTTTCTGCTTTTGTTTCACACTCTAGCGTGTTAAAGAAAGCCGAAAACGCAGCCTATGCTTTCACAGTCCGGCTACTCCAAAAGAATCGACGTTTTTTACTATACCTCTCCGCTCTGGGATCTGAATAAAATAAATGTTACGGTCTTTTTGGGCCAGAGGAGGAATACAAGATCATGTTGTGAAAGGAAATGCAGTTGTAATGCAAATAAAATAAATAATACTCACATCAAAGTGTTTGATGCTACGCGATACGGTGACTCGATCGAAGAGCTTAGTTCCCTGTCCGGTTTGTATAATTACGTCAGGGCACGAAGAGCGGGTGAGTAATAAGGCGAATAATACATAAGGGACCGGTCATTATTTAGAGGGGAAGGGAGGTCTGAATTGTCTACGTAAAGAGTGGGTGGGAGGGGGAGGGTCAAGGAACTGGTCAGGAGAATTTGAACATCGCCTTCCTCCATCAGATTAGGGCAGTACGCATACAGCATGATTTCTCATGGTGTACAGTTAATAATCAGGGTCTATCAACTTGCCCTCTCACTGCCTATTAAGTTTCATTTTTTATTTACTTGCTCTTGGTAAAAGTATTCCTAGTCCACTACAATTGTACCAGCAAAGAAACAGACACGTTCTTTTTCAACAAGTCCATTAATAGTTTATTGATAATAATGATAGAAAAATAATAGATACATAGTTCACCATAGCCGGACACGTAAACCCCGAAAACCATTTTTAGAAAAAAATGGGGACCGTGTACCCCCGACCAGTGCTATGGTGCTGCCCTCGGGGTTTTAAGGCCTGTTCATGTGATATATATGAGCAAAAAAACCTTAAACTCTTAAAGGAACTTAGAAAATGCATCTTAAAGCTAAGCTACAAGTAACAACAAGCAAAGCACGTTAGTTCGAGGAGTTCAGACGGCTGAGCTAGTGCGGCTAAATTACAGTTGCTCTTCTTAAACTCCCCAGCGGTGATATCCGCAAAAAGGCTGTTTACGCTCGCTATAAAATCTCTGTTGCGTGCTTGCTCTTATATTATTCCATGTTTATTGAACCAATGTAAAGGTATGAAAGCTATAGTACTATACCGGTCCTTTTACTACAGATAGTGGCTAGAATGTAAGCTAAGGGGAGGGGATTGTCTCTAATCCGCTTTCCTAGTTCCTATATTTTCAGGTAGGCAAGTAAGTACAACTAAGTAAGGAGAATAATGATTTATTTTAAAATTCTAATTCTTAGACAAATTCAGATCAGCCACAACATTTACCCAGAACCTCTGAAAATCTTCATGCATTTAAAGGTTATTGCTGGTTATGTTGCATGTTAAGTTGTGAATTAGCATCAGTGGAATTAATTAAAGAAGAATTCAGAAGTTCCAAGTTTATTGTTCTGTGGAGAGCCTCACTTGTATGCAATCGAATTGAAACTTTTTATGTAACAAATTGCACACAAAAAATTTTCTTCCCAATCGTAGGATATTGTCTTATTTTTCGTTTGCATCATGACTCTTATTTATCCTTTTTTTTGCCTAAATACTGGTCTTTTATCTCGAAACTGATAATCAGAAGAAAGCAAACTAAGTTGATTAATTTATAGTTCATCTTTGCTTGGGTCTTGGGTCTTGTAGGGTCGCAGTAGGGTAGTGTACCATCCACATCCTTCCTCCAATATGATTTATGGAAGAACCCAATAACACTCTTGTCCTGTAAGCTGTTGAGAGGAAAACAGTTTAGAAAAGATTTTTGTTTCATTTTTAAATAATGATCTCCTTGTCGGCTGATTTATTTTGCTGGGAAATGAGCAAATAGCCTTACTTTTATCATGAAAGCACCATGACATCAATATTTATTCCCACTCACATATTTTTTTTGCTCGGCATGAAATCAAGCCGAAATCAATCAAATGCTCTTGTGAATCCAAAAGTCTAGAATGAATTTCTCCTCAACTTTTCCTTTTCAGTTTGCCACTTTAGGCAAAGCACAGAAATCTAATGAGGGAGGCGATCAAGACCACGCCATGGGTTTAAACGCCACGTTATCAAAGCCCAGTATTTCCTTGCTCCTTCCTTTGGGTTGCTTTTTCCCGTTGACGAAGGAAATAGATAAATGTTCTGTTACTTACCAGGTGAAGACGCCATGGCCAGCCTAACGGAGCTGTTGGCACTCTTCATTTGAGTACAGAACTTCTCAAGAATATCGTTATCGTCCTCATCGTCGTCAGCATCATTGTCACCGTCATTGTCACCATCATTGTCACAATCATTCATTGTCATCGCCGTCGATTGGTTCTCCTCCTCACCACCATCGTTCCTATCATCATCATTATCGTCATCACCATTGTCGAAATCATCATCATCATCATCATCAGGGCAACGGGGGTAAGCCGTCAGGCTGCTTTCACTGCTCCTACATAGATCACTCAAGAGAAGTCAGAAACAAGAGGTTAACTGATCTTATTATAAAACCTTAGTTTTCTCTAAGTGCTTTATTGGCTCGATGGTTTAATGAACCATAATAACAAAACAGCAAAGACAGAAGTGACTTGAGGTTTCCCGCTATTTCAGACGTTCCAACCGTCTTATTTCTTCAGGAGATGTTATCAATAAACGAAAAGTCGTTACAAAGGGTCATATGAAAGCGGCACAGATCGAAATTTGATACGGGAGCTTAAAATTGCAAATAAACTTGGTCGATAGGGATAAAACTTTAATGAAAACGATAAAACAAAACAATAGAGACAAAAAGGCAAAAAAGGTAAATAAATTTTAAAAATGTAACAAAAAATTAACATTTAATAGAAAGAATAAAATAAATTTTAAACAGTAAAAGAATCATAATGATTAAATAAAAATAAAGTCAAATATAAATTATATAACACAACAATGATAGTAACCATTCTAATTATAATGATGTATATAGGAAAGGAATCAAGTTAAAAGTAGCAACTAAAAAGTCTTTCTGAATATGGCGCCATTTTTGAAACGTTACTGCTTTCATGTTCTTGCAGTTACGTTTTCAAAAATAAATCAAGTGCCTTTTTTGTTGCCTTAAATTTAACCTCCTTTTCTATTTTTATTATCATTATCATAATCGTTATTATCATTGTCAGTGTTATATTGCTATTATTTTTAATTTTATTATTTCTATAGGATATTTTATTTATTATTCTACTATTTTGGTTTATTTTTTCTTTTAATTATTTATTTATTTTTTTAAATTTTTTTTCTTTGTTCCATTTTTCACACTTATTTACCTTTTTGCCTATTTGCTTTTTGCTTCAAATTAATCTGCGACGTGCCTAATTATGCATGCTATTATGAAGTTTTATCCCAACTGGCCTTTATTCATATCCCCTGGGAAGGAACGCCTAGAAAGTCCGAAATACCAACAAAACTCAAGTCCCGTTTGTCTTGACTTAATAAAAATAGCTTAATTAGAAGATTGTGAGTTATCAGAAAAGTTTCAATGCGTTTCACCTGTTATTGAAGAAGGAGATACATCGATTTATCATCGCATTTGACATCATCATCATCATCATCACTTTCGTACTCGTCCTCGTCATCATCATCGCAATCAATGCAACAGACGTCACTTCCGTCTTCTAGCCCTCTTCACTATGACAGTCTCTCATCAGGTGGCAACTAAATCTCTCAGGAACAAGGATCAAAATTGAAGGCAAAAGTGAACATTTTGACAAAACAAAATGACGATACTGCCTTTTCAGTAGTCCGCGACTTTTGCAGTTTAAAG